TGGGGTTATTCAATTGCGAGGGTCACTCACTAAGTAATGGAATCCGTCTCCCCTTTGCATCTGCCATAAAAAGCACCCCTGATAAAAAGTGAAACTTACTTTGCTAAAATTTGTTAACATACTAGTGATAATTATCATAATCAATCAAAATTATTGTCATCTTCTATATAATATCTTCACAACTTCAAGAGCAGCCCATGTAATTTGGCTTATGGTAGTTGAAATGAAGAAGACGAAGTAAAAATCGAGCCGATTATGAATTAAACCACAAACGCAACCAATTTAAGGCAATTCCATTCCATTCAATTCCATTTTCATTCAATTCAATTCCACTTGTATTGATTCGATTAGATTTGAATCGTTTTTATTCGATACGAATCCATTCAATGCAAGATCATAACTCAAACTAAGGTCAGCTGGATACTCTTCTCCGACCTGTCTTATTTATAGTTTGAAATTTTTTTTGGTTGCTTAAATAGATTGATTATACAAACATTTTTGCTGCGCTTTATTTCTTCTTGATTTAGTTTCTTGGCAATTAGCATCTTCATTGTTGAATTCTGTTTTTTCTTAAAGTTTTTTTTTTTTTTTTTGATTATAGTTTTTGTAGTTTTTTTTTTTCTTGAACAACACATTCACGGAAGCTTCAGTTTCAGTTTTTGTTTAGACAGACAGAAACTGAAAATGAAGATGAAGATGCTGATTTTGAGTTGTGGGCCTTCCGCGCTTGGAGCGCCTGATCTTGTTTAAATCTTTAAGCATTTCGATTTTTGTTATTTCTTTTTTTTTGATGTCATATGCATCAAATTATGGAAATTTGGCAAAAATGTTTTATCAGCGACGCCTATTGTGTAGTAAGTTGATAGAAGATGACTTGATCTGCTAACTTGCTTAGTCACCGAAGGTCACGGGGGCTCGAATAAAACATTCAATCAACCGACAAAACAGCCTACGGAGAACATACACAGAGAAAAAAGAAACATGTATTCTATAAAACAAACCTGATAGTTTTGATTAAATACCTTTTTGATTTAGAATGTTAAGTCTTAAATGTTGTCTTTTAACCTCACATTAAAATGTACAATCTCCAATCAAGAATGTTTTCTTAATATTCACAAAAAAAGTCAAGGTTCTTCATTCATCTACTTTTAAGAATATAGACTTAATTAAACATTTGTATGTTTTCCTAAAATTCAAAAAAATATCAAGGTTCTTCAGTCATCTATTTTTAAGAATATAATCTTAATTAAAGACTTGAATGCTTTTAAAACGTTTTGTAATCGATTCAAGAATGCGATTTTTGACTGAATGACTTCATTTCAAAACGTAAAATATGAAATGATAAATTTTAGCCTCAGATTAATAAAAAAATCTCCAATCAAGAAAACATTCTATAAACAAGAAGTAAGAAGTGAATCAAATTAAATCAAGGTTCTTCATTCGAATCGAATAATTTAGTTTTGGCTATTGGTATAGATTAGATTAATACGTTTTGTAAACGAAGTACAAATTTTCTCATTGTGTATGGGCAATTTGCATATGCATATGAACAATCATATATGACACGTAAGTTCGTTCGATCGATCGATCGAGAATCTTGCCTTTAATGACAGTAATTGACCACAATCGATGACAGCTTATAAGAACTGGATGTGAGTGACTAAAGAGTGACTAAGCTAATCAGTTCGGCGAATCAGTTTTCAGCCGATTTCCGAACTTGTCAAGGTTCAACAAAACAATAAAAAATAAAAATGTGCGACTACCGCAGGAAATGCATGTAAGATACAAAAGAAAAAAAAAACCGGCTACTAGGGCAAAAATGATTAAAAAGCACAAAAAACAAAATGCATAACATGATAAAAAAACAAAAAACAACAACAACGGATGCTGATTTATGCTGCAGATGCAATAAGCAAAGTGCGAAAAAAGAGAGAACAACAAAAAACACTCAGCAAGTGCGGATGCTTTCAAGATCCAAGATCCCAAAGCACCAAAGGGGCGCTCAAAACACATTCAAAATCATTGCATAATTTTAACAAGTTTTCAAGTATGCATGGGTGGTAATTAAATCTTGGCTAACTCATGTCCAACACAAAGCCAAACAACCAATTGGCAAATATAACAAAAAACTGCCCAAAACGTGTGTTATATATGTATTAATTAAACTATAGCAAAAAAATGAAGAAAAAAAATGAGACAAAAGAAATATTGGACTTTTATTGATTTAATTTATTTATTAATTTATTAAAATTATGCAATTTGAATAAGTAGATGATATATGGTGTGCTTTAATTCCAGTTTTTAGATTAGTTCCTTGGACTTACAAATCAGAGTGCTTGTTGGGAATACGCGACTGAAAGACTAAGTCTACACAAAGCTATAATTAATAAGGTCTTTGCATATTATCCGATTAAATGTAGTTGGGTTTTTTTTAATAAAGAAATGCGTGTAGAGTTACAACAAAAGTTATAATAAACCTAATCAGATTAATACACAGAGAGAAAAATAATATGTTTTCTTGTAATGCTTGAAATCTGATCTTTATTTAAGAAGTGCTTAAGAAAACAGAAAAGAATCACTTTTGATCATTTCAAGACTTTGTTTACTATCTACAATAATATATGTCGAAATCCATAAGCATATCCATTTCTGTAGAACTATAGGGTATACAGAAAAAAGTCATAAATTAATCAGTTTTAAGCAACCAATTAAGAAATTCTTCACTTCAATTTTGCATTCTTTTTATGTTGTTTTATTTATTTGCCATAAACTTCCGCAAATGCAAGAAAATTGCACGATTATCATTTTTGCACTAGCTATAAAATTTGCACAAATATGAAAACATTTTGGCTAAATATAATTAATTCACATTTGGTGTTAACAGTCTGACCCCCCCTGCTGAGCTGTATGCGCCCCGTTGGCATGAACCATATTAATAAGACTAATTAAAATATATGTATAATAAATGATTAAAGCACAGCTGGATGAGTGGAATTATAAACTGGGTTTCTTTTTTTCCATGTTTGGGCTGGCCTTAAATCTGGCACGACCACGTGAGGAGAGGCCTGCGAATCCGCACCATAAATTAGTTTTCTATTAAATGCTACTAAATGGCAAACAATGGCGCCACCCAAACAAAAAGTCGCACACACGCATACACACACACACACACACGCATATATGGTGTATAATATATAGGTGTATCTTTTTCATGGTCAATTAGCAGACAACAGAAATCAAGTCAACAGTTGTTGGCCATAAGGTCAGCCATTAGTGCTAAGCGAGTGTCAATAGTTCAACGTGGCCAAAATGTCAATGTTTTACATTTGAATTTTTCTTTTTTTATTTTCTTACATTTTATTTATTTATTTTTTTTATGGGATATTAATAAGGATTTGAGTTTGAATACGTGAACATAAAGAAAAAATCACCGACTTTCATTTGTGTTCTGCTCAGTAAATTACATAATCAAGCGTGTTATACATTTGCATATTGATGAGCGAAAATAAAATAAAAAGCTAACATAAATGTCAATTTGTTTAGAATTGGGTACAAGCCGAACAGCTCTCCAGATCCGGCTGGCACCGCCAAGCACCAAGCACCAATCACAGTCTGAGCTTGAAGAGCATGAGAGAGACGATGGCGGCGATGGCGACGGCATGTTAAATATAATATTTATGAGAGCAAATTCCAAAATCAATAGCTTATCCTTTGCCAGTTCATTCACATGGCAATTAAAGCAGCAAAAAAAAAAAAAACACAAACACACTTAACAAAAAAATATAAAACACGTTGAGGGGTTAAAAAAAAAAAAACAAAAGTAAGTTTTATAAATTTTAGCTTCTAGTTGTCGAGCGCGTGCGAAGAGCAGCCGCTGCGGAAGCCAAAGAGCCGTAGAGCCCACGGCGACATTTCGAAAGGCTTTTCAAGATCAAGGCCTAGTAATACAAACAGCAAATAACAATAACAAAACACAACACTTGACAAATCGATATATGAAGTAAGCCCCAAAGCCATCGGCAGCAAATCAAAATGATGCGTAAAAGGTGCGCCAAGTGTTTGCATATACATTTGGAAATACAAGGCATTTGTTTTGACCGCCTGGCACTCCACACAATCAGATATTGCAATTAAATTAATACTATCGTACTACGGATTTTAGCCGGGCCAACAGACAGCGTCCGAAGAACAAACAGACAAAACTTTTGCTTTAAATTTAAAGTAAATAACTTAAATTCGTAGAAGCGACCATAAAGCGGGGCTTCATTTATATATGTGTATACTATAAAGATTATCTGTCTATAGACAAATGTAGTCATTGTCTCAAGCTGTTCTGAGTTCATTTGCTGATCTTTCTTCTTTTTTTTTTACCTGCACAGTGTGCCAGCAAAAAATCAAAATAAAATAAACAACATTAAAATCCGGTTAATATGCATTTATCAATAGTTTTGTTTTCCTGTTGTTTTTTTTTTTTTTTGCGTAAGAAATGTAGCAAATGTGAACAGTCTTAGTTCAGACGAAGTAATTTGTTATCCCAGTTCTTTTTATCGTAGAATCAAAGTGTTGATTTCAAAATCGAGTTTGTTAACTTTTTTTTTTTTGGTGCGCCATTTTGAAAAGTGATATTTCATATGCTGCCATAAGGTTGCACATCATTTCAACTACTAACTGATTTATGATAACTGCTCGTACTCGAGATGCGAATCAATGTGCAGCGCAGAGAGAGAGATGGAAGAGAGACAGACAGACAGAGAGAGTGAGAGAGAGAGAGAGAGTGCGACTCAAGCCAAGCTTAGCTCGGAGAGAGAGAGAGAGAGAGCGAGTAAGAGCGTAAGCTTTCAAGTTTTACTCTCTGGTCGCTCCAAAATGCTCGCTCAGCTTGAATGCTCAGTGGATGTTTTTAATATTGGGGAGTGGCAGCCGCCCATTTTGCCAATTGGAACGTATAAAAGCCGGCTGAACGGCTGTCTGAATATTCGTTGCTATTCACATTTGCGTCTGGTCTCGTCTCGTCTAGTTTTGTCTCCGACGCAACATCGGAGTCTGATTTGGACCCACTGAGAACGCAACTGAACTTTTGTGGTGTATTTTGGTTATAAGCGAACAAAATAAATAAAGGTAAGCAGACATTCGCGCTCCTCAAGGATATTCAGTGTGTGGATACATTTTGAAAGGACTTCCAGTGCCCAAAAAAATATAAAAATAATTGACATTTTGTGATGAGAACAAAAAAAGAAAAACAGTTTACATGAAAATTAAATATTATATATGTATATACGAACAGTGCTACAAGGATGTGAAAACAAAATTTCGGATTTGATATGGATTAAAAGTTGCGCAAAATCAAACGAAAAAAAATTATATTTTAGAAGATTTTTGAGGAAATGAATTTGAAAAGTGAGACGAGCAAGTTCGTTGCCTAAGTTCTTTGGTGTGTTGGATCGAGAATCAAGTTTGTTTCCCAAGTCTTTTGTTATTTCAACATCAGTTCATTGGCCCAAAACTAAAAACTCTATTATTCTATAGGAATGCCGAGTTTACAGTTACAGTTCGTTGACTCAGCTATGAACTACAACATTTTTGTGGATCTTTATGGCATTTGCATAAGTAATACGATATTTTTTGACCCAACACCCTTTAACACTAAAAATATGCTGTCCATTTTGTAAGTCACAAACATTTGCGCAATGTGGCAAACGTTAAACTGCCAACGCACACACAACCAAATTGTACATGCATCAATTATAACGAGAAGCAATAAAACACAAAATGTGTGCCGAACACATGTGTGGCTGTCATAAAAGGGCTACAAAGCTACACACTTGTAGACATATGTATCCATAATTAAGTGCAGTCATCAGTGTTTTGTTCAAGCTGATTGATATTGATTAACATGCATGAGCTGACGAAAAACAAATACGGGCGCCAATGGACAGAAATTACAAAACGCAACTTTTAAACACCAACAAAACAGAGACGGACATAGAGAAATAAATACTCGTTGCGAGCGCTGCTTGAAATGCAAGTTTCCAAATCTCCATTAAGGGCAGGCATCGATCGTACTTTTCACCTCAAATCGAATCGTTTTTTGATGCTTTTGGTCGAAAATTGAATTCATAATTTGTGTAGCGCAACAAGTCTTGAAATCGTATCAAATTTTCATTATGCATGAACTTTGTGTTCAATTTCCAAGCCCTGTGGCTTGGCTGCGACCATTAACCGATTCCATTAATGATTTATATTGCCAAATCGACGACAGACGACAGACGACGGTTGAGGGTATGGGGGGTAATTCCCCCACTCCCGCCAAGCTGTCATAGCGATCAAGATCGTCATAGCAATGAAATCAAATTAAAATGCAAAATTTCAAATTTGAAACTGGACAGACCAGTCAGGCATTCGAGCTGATTGATTGATAGCATTGCATTAGCATCACGTTAAAAATTATAAGGAGGAAGACAGCGGGAGCAGCAGCTTTAATCGATATGCAAAAGACGTGGAAGGTTCTAGCCAGAGTCGAAAATAAAAATAAATTTACAAAAATAAAAAACAAAGCAAAAAAATGTATATAAAAAAAATAACGATACAAAAGTCAATAAAACCAGTTAAGGTCAGCAGTCAGGCCTGGCCAGGCCAGGCAGGCAGGCAGGCAGCAGAGTGGCTAAGCTTGTGGCTTGTGTAATCAACATGTTTGCTGCAGATGCTAAATGAATTTTTTATTTATGAATAATGTGACGACGGTGCCCAAGCTGCTGTTAATGCTGATGCCGTTGCCGATGTTGATGCTGATCACGTTGCCAACGCTGCTAAGCTACAATAAAAATAAAGTTTCAAGTGTCGTCGTCGACGTCGCTGTCGTCACTGTGGCAGTGTGTCAGTGGCCGCCTCGGGGCAACCGGTTGGCTGGCACCAATGCATCCTTGACATAAAAACCGTGCACACCAAGTTACATCTTCGCTATACAAACACACACACACACGCACACACACACGCACACACACACACGCACACACTTATTAAGATGCACGCAATCAAATCAAATTTAAACAACATTCCGCAAACGCACTGTGGTCAATAGCCTAAATATGGCCATTTAAATATACATATATTGATATTTTTAATGTATTTGGAGTTGATCTCCCTTGTCTTAATGGCTAAATTGGCTGTAAAATTTAACTAATATTTTTTTTTATTGTTTTTTGTTTTATTATTCGTTGTTATAATTTAAAGCAGTAAAGTTATGAGCAAACTCAGTCATGAAAAAAGCCCCACTTTTAACCACAGATAAATATAACAAATAAGTGAAAAAGCGGTCAATTTTTTGTTTTGCTTAATTGAAGCTGAGCACTACAAATACTCAGTAACTTGATGCAACATATTTTTGTTATCACAGCCAAAATAAGTAGCTTAAAAAAAAGCACACAACACAAAATTTAGGTTAGCTGAAGATGGATGTACTATTATACTATATATATATATATATATATATATATACTATTATATACTGTTATGTAGCTAACGAGCCAAATAATTTGTGCAAAATGTTCAACTCACGTTTTCGCTTTTCCGCCTTTGCTTGCAGATGAAAGTCACTTTGGCGATAGCGACTTTCTGCCTGGTGGCCGCCTGCGCCTCAGCGCAAAGGGGCAGAACCACAACAACCACAGGAACCAAGCCGGGTCGCTTCCTCTCGCTGCCCGTGCCCGCCAAGTGCTCTAGCCGTAAGTACACACTTTTACTATCAAAATACATACCACAAAACATTTCACATATTTCAACCATAAACCAAAAAACAAAAGTAAAAGTGAGCAACGTTAGAAGAATAACAATTAGCGAAGCGATTTGCCAAGTTTGCACTTGAAATTGTTGGGCAATGCGACGTGTGGCGTGTAAACGAGACCACAATAATTACAATAATAATATACGTGAGTATGTGGGTGCCTATATATATATATATATATATTTCATTGCGTTAGGTCGCGAACGATTCGTCGAAGGTCGCTTGCATTTTGTCACCCACGCACTTTCTTTGCTTTGCAGTTGAGTTTCTCGGTTTCTCAGCCGAGCGCTGCCACTTTGAATGGCTGCCACTCATTTGTATCCAATTAGACAGCAACACACACACACACACACACACACCTACACATTTAATGCAAGTCATCTAATGCAGTTGCGCTCCAACCCAAAAGATTGCAAAAATGCATCAGCAGCTATAAAGATTTACGATGCAAACAATCGCGTCATCGCTGCATATCCGCTACGGGTGAAGTTTGCAGCTAGTGCTAATTACACACATATTAATATGTATTAGGTGCAAAAATAACTCGAATGAATGCATTTGTGTGCATTCCGTTTAAGCTGAAAAAAAAATGCAACTTAATTTGGATTTTTATTTGTTTTTTTTAGTGGACCATAAAGTTGCATAGCTAGTTTTGTGTGTTGAGTTTTTCATTTTTTTTAGAAATTTCCAGTTATACAAGCACAACTTTATGTTAAATAAATTAATTATCTATTCAAACTTAATTACCTGCTTTAGACGGCGACTGTCTCGTTAATAACGACTCTAAAACATGACACTGTGTGCTTGCTTATTAATTTACATTTAAAAACGTAGATTTCCTAAGCCCCAAACTACACGTTGAGATTCTGAGAGATTCTGCTTGTTTAGTTGAATCCACATCTTTTTTTTAATAGCTTGTTTGGGAAGTTGCTTGGTAAATGATGCAATTGTGAGCATTTCTTGTTTTTTTTATATTTTTTTAATTTTAACAGGAGAAAAACAAATGGTGGGGAAGAAAGTGGGGTTAATGTGACGAGCTATTTTATTGCCTTGACCCGCAAACTGAGGAAATTACAGCAGTCTGGCAGCATTGGCAAAAAAACTAATAATGTGCAAACAATGGCAAATAAGGTCATTATGTTAGACTTAAGCTGATTTGACGTGAAGTGTGGAGCGGGTAAGGTGGGGAAGGCGGGTAAGGGGGCGGTGGAACGAACAGGCAATTGCAAAAGTGACGGCAACCAACGACGACTGGCAGCTTTAAAGCAGCTTAAAGTGCGCCTAATGACGCGTGCCGCCAGCACCAGCGACAGCAAACAGTGGTAACAAGAGGCGTGGCACAGGCGGGTAGCTTAAAAAAAATCAAATTAAGTCGAAACAACTGCAACGACTGCACAATGCACTGTTAAACAGTGCTAGCAAAGTTTTTCCATTATTAGTTTCTTGCGTTTTGCGGCAGTGGGCGTGACAGCAATATTCTTGACTTATTTTTCCTATAATTAAAGGCATGTCAAAAGATTTGCGCAATATACCAATATACTCGCACTTTTAAGAACAGAGTAGCGAAAAACAAAATCAAAGTAGCTAATCAAATGGACGCTGCTGCAGCAGCACTGCAGTAGCCGCAACGGTGGCAGATCAGCGAAGCAGCGATGTGAAACAAGTTTCGTATTTATTTATTTTTTTTTTTGCCGAGGAAACGAAGGTGGCAGCAGCAAAGTTGTAGCTTTATGTCTATCGGTGTGTGTGAGTTAGGGGGGGAATTCCATTGTTGGCTTAACCAATATAGTTTTTGTTGTGCTTTGGCAAATGGAAAACCTTTTGACACACAGAAGACAAAGGAAAAAGCGGGCAGACGGCATCGGGAGGAGTCGCAGAGTAGCAAGCAGCAAAGCAGCAAGCATCATGCTGCATAAATTGCTGCACAAGATTACGCAACGGCAATAACAACAACAACAACAACAACACAAAGTTGGGGGAAGTTGTGTAAGCATCCGTGGCTTGTTTTGCCAATCATTGGGCCAAGATGCTCAACAGTCAGCCAAGCATCCAAAACGCATTAAACTCGAGACACGCCCAACTCTAAACTTAACGCTAAATTGAACTCTAACTCGATATTTGCAGGCCCCAAGGAGTTCTCCTATCGCGGCAAAAACATGTTCCTAAGCACCCATGTGCCGGCGCTGGCCAACAGGAAGGTCGACTGGTTGGATGGCCGTAATCTGTGCCGTGAATACTGCATGGATCTCGTCGCCCTCGAGACCCAAGAGAAAAACAATCTCATCTTCCGTGTCATCCAGCAGAATGATGTGCCTTACATCTGGACAGCTGGACGTATTTGCGATTTCGCTGGCTGCGAGAATCGTCCCGATCTGGAGCCCAAGTCCGTCTATGGCTGGTTCTGGTCCGCAACCCGTGAGAAGATCCAGGCCACCAACCGCATTCCACAGGGATGGGGCTACAATCCCTGGTCGCAGACCGGTCACAAGAAGCGTCCACAGCCCGACAATGCCGAATACGACATCAACCAGACCAAGGAGCAGTGTCTGCGGTGTTGAACAATGTCTATAATGATGGCATCGCATGGCACGATGTTGCCTGCTATCATGAGAAGCCCGTCATCTGCGAGGATAACGAGGAACTGCTGCGCTATGTGGCGGCCACAAATCCGGGCATTCGTCTATAAGTTTTGCTGAAGATGTCCAAATGCTTCTTCGTATTGTTTGTGTAATTTTAAAACTACTTATTATAATAATACTCCTTAAATGAGTTTTTTTTGTATAATTTTGTTTAATGTGTACGACGAATGCAAGACAAATAGACTTTAGAATTTATAATTCCCCCGATCTTACCACCTATATTTTACCACCACATGTCCAAAATTCACAAACTCTCCTCCTTTCGAAACTGCCAATCTTATCGACTATCCTAAAAAACAAAAAAAAAAAACAAAGCACAAAACCAACAAAAAACCACAAATTATATTTATAAACCAATTTTAAAATGGTTAAGAGTATTCACTGAAATTTCGCTTCGCCTCAAAATCTCACTATTATATTTTGCCTTCCAAAACAAAGAGATTGAATAAAATGTTGTAAAAAAAATCCATAAAATAAAGAATTATATAATTTATTTTATTTGACACTAAAATCGCGCCTGGAACTCCGTCCGTAGCTCGATGTGGAACGACTCCTTGTGTGTCCTCGACTAGCTTGGGATTTGTGGCGTTTGCGGCTTTGATCTTGCCTCGAATGTGAGTCACGCTCTCTGCTGCGATGTTTCCGGTTGCTGTTGCTCGAGGATTGGGAAGAAGAGCTCTTCACTTCCAGCTCAGGACTCTCGGACCAACGCCAGTTGCGAGGAGATTCCCTATCATTGTCGTCCCAGCTGTCGGATCAGTAAAATATTCATTTCATTTCATTGATATAATAATATATTTAAAATACTCACCTGGCTGGTTTAGTTTTGGGCGTCCTACTGTGAGATCGATTGCCCTTTGGCGTATCGTACAGATCCAAGCTGATGTTAAACAGATTGTTTGGATTGCGAAACAAGTGAAGGTAGCCACAGCTATTACCTTTGGGACATTTGCGTGTTAAGGACAAACCTTAAAGAAGCAACAAGTTGGATAAGCAATTATTATTATCTTTGGCTCGCCAAAGATTAAATACCCTTGCAGACATAAATTCTAAGCTTAGACTTAATCTGCTCTTACAGATCTTAGATCTTGATCCGATAGACTATAAAATGAACAAACTTTCATTAACCAAAATGTGCACATTAATTTGCATACAATCAATAATGGCTATAAAAAGTCAGTTGTTAAAACTAATTAGGAATACATAATATATAATATACATTACGAAATCCTTTACCATTTGGAAACATGATTATTTTACTAGCTGCAAGGGTATACAATATAATACATATATATTATATATATAATTATAAATGTGCGTCGTATTTGTGTTTTTTTTTTTATTTAGCAAAGGATACGGCTGTTGAGATGCGGTTCACGTACCGCAAACGGCGCCACGCCATGCTTTCAAATTGGAGAACTCCACATTTAGGCGCCTGGATGCATAATAACGACCCTGCAGATTGACAAAGGCGCGCAGCGCATATCTGAAATTAATTATATATATTACAAATATATTATGTATATTTTATCTCAGATACACACCGCTCCTGGGCATACTCCACAAAGACGTGACCTCGCAGATGGGGCAGCGTATTGCACACTACACGAAAATTAATGATTTTGCCAAATTTTTGCAACTCGTCGACGACATCGTTGAAGAAGGCATCATAATCCGCTCGCAGATCTTGTGGAGTCTGCTCCAAATGAGCATCGGCATTTGCATACTCCTTGTGCGTATCGCCAATCTGTAGCAGGGGATGTGTGAAAAAGTGACGTATTAGAAGGATCTTGGCCAGCATGGGCCGCCGGTGATTGAAGGTGCAACTGTGACCATAACGACAGCAATTGGTGCGCGTGTAGAATTCACAGAGTCGCTCCTCGGGATGCGTTTCGAGCACACGTTGCAGTTCGCTGGGCGGTGTGCACCGTGTGGTATCCTCCATATAATCGTGCATGCGTTGCAGTAGTGCCTCAAATTCTGCTGCTGCCTTGTCTGCCAGTCTTTTCTTCTCCTCGCGCCGCATGCGCTGCTCCTCGAGCATTGCTGCCAATTCGTCTGCTTGCTGAGCACGCAACCGCTCCATTTCAGCCTGCTCCTTGCGATGCTTCGCTGCATCGATTTGGAATTGACGTTGAGCGAGTGCCTCGCGGCGGAGCCATGCCTCTTCATCAGCCTGTTGTTTGTGCTCAATTGTCAGACGCTTAAATTCCTCCAGCTCCGCTTGCTGTTTGAGCCATGTTTGATATTCTGGCTCCGATTCTCTTGCGCTCTGCTCGATTGCCTCTTGTTTTTCGCGCTCTCGCGCTTGCTTCTGGCGTCGCCGATGTCTTTGTTGTTTTTTTACCAACTTGCGCCAAGTTCTGCGATTGCAAAATATTGTAAATTGTATATTAAAGCAGCAATTCAGTTTTACCTTTTAGCCGGCATTTTTGTTTGTGTTTTGTCCTAAACCGACGTCACCCTGTAAATGAATCTGTTAACCTTAACAGCTCTTTAACATTCGCATTGCGTTAGCATTCCACTTGCTAATCGGCAGCCGAGTTTACAGTGTTTACTCCCCACTTAACATGCTCACTTACTGCAAACGACTCAACCTCTGCAACCTTGGACTGCGTGAGTTTTAGTATTTTTTCGGTATTATTTAGTGTATAAGAGAAATGCATTTTATGGTGAAACGCAATATTTGCGTACACGGTCGCACTGCCCTCATAATATTTTGGTCTATTTTTAATTGTAAATACTAGAAGAATTACCAAATAAAATACACCATCGAGGATATGGCGCTCATTATTTAAAATAAAATAACGCAATAAGGGCTAAAACAGCAAATACACAAATTCCAAAGCACACACAAAACTGTCGACGGCAGCAAAGCGATGAGCAAAGTGCGCAGGCTGTACCATCAGAAATATCGGGAAGAATGGGAGAGATGCCCATCGTTTGAAGATTGGCTCTCCCGAGGCGAGGATGGCCTGTCGGCCCACTGTAAAATATGCAATGCGAACGTGTTGGCGCGACTCGCATCTATCAAGCAACACCACTGCACAGCCAAACACCAAAAGGCTCTCCAACTGCATCAAATCGAGGACATGGTAAAGGAAACAAAACAACAATGACAACAATCATATAAAAATAATTTAATTTATTTTTATTTTAGGGCATTCCGGTTATGTTGAAGCAGGAAGCAACGCAAAAGTATATTATTTCATGTAAATCGAAATCGAAATCAAAGCGTCTCAAGACAATTAAAATTGAATCGGTTGAATCATTGGATCCCAATACAAATTCAAATGATTCGATATTGGAGGATTTGTTGGGCAGCGATGATATGGAACAAGAATATATGCAGGTGAGCGAAACGGAAATGGATACAGAAACTAAGCCCGATACGTTTCAAGAGGATAGATATGATGAGATGCAGGACGATAATATAACAGACGAAAATATTATAAGCGAGTTTGATCTGTTTGGCAAGAGCGTGTCCCTACAACTAAACAACATGGAAGTATGTTTCGATTGATCTATTGTTTGAAGAAATATAAATAATAGCGTATTCCCATTTCAGTTGGAGGACGCATTGCTGTGCCAGGAGCGTTTACAGGTAGTCCTCACAGAGTTCAGACTAAAGATACTAAAGCGTAAGGCGAAGCGTCAATTTTAAGCTTGATTTTAATCCGACTTAAATTTATTAACAAATTATACACATTTATATATTATAGTATATATTGACGGCCATTGCCAGCGTACTAAATTACAATAAACGTTTTGTCCTATTATTTCGCCTCGATTTCGTCTATGAAAGCGCGACACTTTTTCTTCAACACTTTGACTGCCTCCAAAAAGATCACCTCGGGCTTCAAGGCGCCCACCGATTCCACACTGAATATATAATGATCGCGGACACGTGCCATGATAACAGCATCGGCGAGTTGTGGATAGCGATAGACATTGCGGCTGCAGCTGTCGTAGCGTGCATCCTTCACATAGGCACATTCGTTTTCATCGATGCCAATGACGCCGGGCGAAAAACAGTTCTGCAACAGGTAGGCATCCTTGCCAGAGACTTCCCTGGTGAGTGTAATCTGTGGCAGCAGGCGATAGAAGGCGGTAGCCACCGGTGAGAACTTGGCATGATCCTTGCCAATGCCCTTGACTGCGATCAGACGGAGATCAAGCTCGTGACCGGGTCTCAGTTGGGCAATGAGTATATCGTCATGGATACAGTTCACGCTGCTCTCACTATAGATTTGTCCCTGTTTGCCCTTGGGCAGCCACTTCAGGTGACCCGAATACACCTTGTGATTCTTGTAGATATCATCGAAATTTGACTGTTCCTTGGTGGCATCCTTGCGTCGTGTGCACTTCACCTTCAGCTCATATTCGAGGGTGTCCTGCTCGCTGCCCTGCTCTGTGCTCTCCTCGGAGCGATAGGCGAAGAGTCGGGGATCGGCACGCAATGGCAACAGGCCCATGCGATGTGCCAGAACCTCGTCTTGTATGATAGATGTGTTGTTGTAAATGTAAACCTTCTCAATGGCCATGCTGGGCACCTCGCTCAGCATCAGACGGCGAAAAGCATTCGCAATCGCCGGATAAACACCAATCAAGTCGAATTCCAAACCGTTTTCCTCATCGTTTCTGCAATTGGCATGGAGACCGTTTCAGAGACTGAACATAATTTTTGTTTAATAAACAATCTTACCGTACAATGACCACTTGCAGTTTGTTTTTGAAAACTTCCATGTTGAAGACCTCGTCAGCCAGGCCATAATCCTTGGGATCCTGTTTGACCCTGTACTCCTCCATGTAAAGCAATGGTTGCTTTTTATCGCCAGGCATTTTAATAGATTTGTAATTCAGCAATACTCCAGAAATAAATTAAAATTAAAACCTATTTCAAGTTTGCCGCACGTGTTTGTTGTCTAAACAATCAGATATGCGCAGATTTTCGATACCAGTTACTGAGTTTCTGTCGTGACTGGCAAAAGTATTTGCTGTGAAAACATATATGCTAATATACCTGCCAATTAGGTTTTAGATATTATTGAAAAATTAACTAAAAATTAATTCATACTATCAGCGAATAATAATACGTGCATATATAAAAATTACTTACACAGTAGTCACTAAAAACCAAAATTGGCCTGAGTTGGCAGCTTTTTGCAGCGCTTGTGAATGGCAACCTTTAGCTCTCTTAACCGGCAAAATTGGTAAAAGCAAAATAAACAAACATGTACACGCAGATCTTCGCTACCCATTACTGAGCTGTTGCTGTGACTAGAAATTTGTTTAGGTTTTTTTTTTGCGACTATATAAAGTCTAATAAGCCAATTAGATTTTAGATATAATGGAAGACAATTCATTAATTTGCACCACCAGCCAAAGAGACAAACGTGTATTAATAAAAATTCGCTTCACAGCGCCTGAAAACCAAAATTGGCCTGAGTTGGCAGTCGCGTTTACAGCGCTGTGAGTGGCAACTCTTAACTCCCTTAACCGGCGAAATTAGTTCTCCAGCAGCTTTTACGTAAAACATTAGTAAAAGCAAAATACAAAAATGTCGCGCACATTGCAACGTTTAGTGGGCAACTGTAGACGCTGGAACCAACTGCAAACGCAGCCAATTCCACGTGTGTTGCAACAACAACAACGTAACTTTGCAGTAAAATCCACAGATCCAACAAAAGGCAAAGGTCCGATTTCATGGAAGAGTTTGGCGGTAATTGGTGTTTTGGGCGCTGGAGGCTTGGGTTTTATGCTGTACGTGAAGAGCGAGAAGGATGAGGCGCTGATGAAGGAACGCAAGCGACAGCTGGGCAAGGCAGCGATTGGTGGACGCTGGGAATTGGTTGATGACAAGGGTCAGGTGCGCAAATCCGAGGACTTTGTGGGCAAATGGCTGCTTATCTACTTTGGCTTCACTCACTGTCCCGACATTTGTCCAGACGAGCTGGAAAAGATGGCGGCAGTCGTTGACGAAGTTGGTTCGTATACATAACACATAATTAGGGAATATCTTAAATAAGAATCAAAATGATTCACTTTCACAGAGAAATCCCCGCAGACACCCGAGGTACAGCCCATATTCATAACTGTCGATCCGGAACGTGACTCCAAGGAGGTGGTCGGCAAATATGTGAAGGAGTTCTCGCCCAAGCTGCTGGGATTGACGGGAACCGTGGATCAAATACGAAATGTCTGCAAAGCATTTCGTGTTTATTTTAGCGCTGGACCCCGCGACTCGGACAACGATTATATTGTCGATCACACAATTATCATGTATCTGGTCAATCCAGATGGTGAATTTGTTGACTATTATGGCCAGAATCGGGACAAGGATCAGTGTGTGTCATCGATTTTGGTCAACATCGCCAAGTGGAATTCAATGAACAAAAAAGGCTGGTTCAGTTAGATTCATGTGTTTTGGGGCTGCCACAAAGTCTGTTGATTCATATTAAAAAAAATTCTATCAAGTTGGCAGTGCTGCTCATAACAACCCAGTCTAAAATTGTATTTGCTCGCTCTTTTTGACGCTGCGTGCTGCGTGGATGTTGCAGAAATTGTTTTGTTTTCTCGCAATAAATATTTAATCAGTTACAAAATGGTGTGTGCACAATATGAAACAGATCAATATAGTTATTAAATATGGTGTTTTTTGGTTGCATTAATCATGCGCATGTTTGGCAAAGCAAAGCCTCTTCTGATTCAGGCAACAACATAACCTAAAAAAGGCGGCTGAGTTTATTTTTATTGCAAATTGCAGTACAATGGTATTGTTTCGTTTTCCAGCGTCCGTTGATGTTGCAAGGTCACGAGCGTTCCATAACGCAAATCAAATACAATCGCGAGGGCGATTTACTCTTCTCCAGCTCCAAGGATCAGAAGCCAAATGTTTGGTATTCACTCAACGGCGAACGTCTGGGAACCTATGATGGACATCAGGGAGCTGTCTGGTGCCTGGATGTGGACTGGGAGAGCAGGAAGCTAATCACTGGTGCCGGTGACATGACCACCAAGCTCTGGGATGTCGAATATGGCACGGTCATTGCCTCCATAGCAACGAAATCCTCGGTACGCACCAGCAACTTCAGTTTCTCGGGCAACCAGGCGGCCTACTCCACGGACAAGGCGATGGGTCAAAACTGTGAACTCTTCATCATCGATGTACGCAACGCAGACTCGACGTTATCCGAACAGGAGCCCACGCTGCGCATACCCATGGTGGAGTCGAAGATCACATCGATGCAGTGGGGCCCACTAGATGAGACCATCATAACAGGTAAGTCAAAAATCTTTATGGAAGTTTTAAATTGAAATGAATTGCTCGATTTTAGGCCATGACAATGGTAACATTGCCATTTGGGATGTACGCAAGGGACAAAAAGTGGTTGACTCTGGTGTGGATCATGCGGCTGGCATCAATGACATGCAGCTGAGCAAGGATGGCACCATGTTCGTGACCGCCTCCAAGGATAACACTGCCAAACTGTTCGATGCCGAGTCGCTGATGTGCTTGAAAACGTACAAGACAGAAAGGCCCGTGAACTCGGCAGCGATTAGTCCCATTTTTGATCATGTGGTGCTTGGCGGTGGTCAGGATGCCATGGAGGTGACCACAACATCAACGAAAGCGGGAAAATTCGATTCACGTTTCTTCCATCTGATCTACGAGGAGGAATTTGCACGTCTCAAGGGTCATTTCGGTCCCATCAACAGTTTGGCCTTCCACCCGGATGGCAAGAGTTACGCCTCGGGCGGTGAAGATGGTTTCGTGCGTGTCCAGTCCTTTGATAGTACATACTTTGAGAACATATTCGAGTAGACGCCCAGCCGGACCGTAGTTGTTAGTAGTTCCCCTCCCACTCGCCATGTTCGTGTGCATAAAAAATTGTCAAATATACGCGAGAACAAGACGAAATATCATCATTTATTAAGTAATCTTTTAAAGCATATATATATGTATAGTATGTATGTATTTATATAATTATTAGTCATTCGAGTAATTGCAAATGCCAATCATTTAACTGGAGAAGAATGAACGTTTCTTTTGCTGCACCACCACTGGCTGCCCTTGCATCGCAGCCAATTGGGCAGCTGTCGGCAAGCAGCCGGGCGGCGGTGGCGGTATGACAACAGCTCCAGTGGATGTGGTACGCAACTCTGCGCGCGAATCAACATTTATAACATGCGAAGCAGCCGTTGCCCCAGCCGATGTGCTCGGTCCTGGAAAACCATATCCCAGTCCAGGATGCAAAGTCGGCAGCTGTTGATGATGCGTCATGCCGTAGTACTGATTGCTGGGCACATGCATTGGCATGCATCCTGGTCCCGGGGGGCACGGTGCATAATTGGTCCGATGTTGTTGGCTCTGTTCGTACGAAGGCGGCGGAGCTCGCTTCATATTCATATGAAAATTGAAATTTATAACCCAAATTTAGATTTAAGTTAGCTGCATTCTTTCATACGAACCATTGAAGCGGCACTATCATATTCAAAGCTGTAAGGTGGCACAGCGCCTGCACTTGGCGCACCTGCTGTTTTTTCTACACATGGGCGGGGATTAATTTAATTGAAGCTGGGTAAAATCATTACCTACCTGAATTTGGTCTCGACATTTCTTTGTGTTTACTGAAATAAATTCGTGATTTGTACGGGCTCATGAGGTTGCCAGCCTGTTGAAAATAATATTGATATTGTTATTAGTGATGCCATTCACACTGCGACGGAACATCGAATCAGCTGTTTGCCAGACGAGAGCAAGACGAACGCGCACCGTTGTTAGCCATATTGAGACAAATATATAGAAAAAACTCAATTCGACAGGACAACAAAATTGATTTGTTACAGAAAAATCGAAATTAAAAACCCAAGATATTGTTGTGCACCTTAGATAATGTCCCACGCAACACCGCAGGTTTGTAGAGCATTCATTTCAAAAGCTTCCGCGTTTCTGTGACGCAATAGTTCAACATTCTGATAAATCATTTTGAACGGTTTCACAGGGCGTTAAACTGTTGAATGGCTTCAAGCGTCCCAATCGGTTCGAGAAGGGTCTCGGCGCCCAGCTGCCGGATGCCTATAAGAAATTCTGGCGCGAATGGAAGCTAACGAAACCAGCTGCGGTGCATTACATACCCAAGGAGAGTGAGTGGGAACGCGACGAGGTCACGCATGCCATCAAACCGGTTCAGAATATACCATTGCCGCTAATCGATACACCGGAATCGCATCACGGCATTTGGGGTGGCGAAGCCGTCATCAAGGGCTTCCAGAAGCGAGCACAGACAAAACGACGAGTTCCCCATTTTTGGGTACCGACTCTGCGCCGCTCGGTGGTGCACAGTCAGGTGCTCAACGAATACATGTCCGTCGTTGTCACCGAACGCACACTGGAGCAGATTCACGAATGCCATGGCTTCGATCATTATCTGCTCAAGAATTTGGCATGTGATTTGCGCTCGGCGCTGGCATTGAAAATCAAGCGAAAGGTTCTCAAGGCACTGCAACAGGGCTGTCCGGCATGGCAGGCGGAGCCGAATCATCAGCAGGATATGCTCAAAGAATACGGTCCGTATCTGGCATCCTATACACCAGATGAGATCGACTGGTATGGCCACACCTACCTCGAAGCCATACGCAAGCTGCAGAATCAATTGCGCGCTGCGGAGCAAGTCCTCCCACATAAGATTGAATTTCGCAGTAAATTAATTGAGCAGTTGCGTGAAGCGGGCATTCCCGAGGCGGGCAAAAAGGAGTCAAAGGGTGTGATTGCCAATGTCGAACACAAAGATGCGGACATTGAGGCATTGACCAAGCTAAGTATTGCTAATGCTTCATCCATATCATTTAAATAACCTCTTATTCGTTGATAACAGTGAATCATCGCCCGCATCTTCGAGCTGGCTATCAAAAATCAATCCGTTTGGCAAGAAGGAAACGTAAAAGATGTTCCGTAACATTGAGCAGTGAGCAACTACTGGTTATGTGTTGAAAATTAAAAACAAAAAAAAAACAATATTAAAACTTGACTGGGAGTCTCCAGTACGTCAAAATGAATTCTTACATAATATTTTGTATGCCCTGGAAAACAGATTGAACGCATTTTCCCACAGAAACTACTCGCTCACTTTTAAAGCTAACTGATGAAATTTGCAATATATCCGTCCTTTCACTGCAGTCGAAAACAATCGGATCGGACCACAATATCAAACACAAAAATCAGGTTTTGATCAAAAGATAAGTACATTTGAAAGATTTTTTATTTACAGAAAATATAACTGCACAGAAGTTGGGAAGAACAGATATATTGCAGATTGAAAAACGTATTTTAATTGATGTTCTGAAATAAAATTAATTTGGTTTTTATTGGATTAAATATGCCGTTAATTAGGGTTTCAGCCGAACTATTTATCTTATCTTACAATCAAAATTAGTGTATATTTTTAGGCCGAACTCAAATTTCGTCACACGCAACTCAATTACAAAGCATACTTTTAGGCTGTACATTATAATCACTAGGAAATATAAACTTTTAAGGCATACTTATAGGGCGAACCATGGTGTTATTCAGTCTCAGAAAAAAGGCTCTAACTCGAACAAATCCTTACAGATTTGCGAGGAATATGATGCGTGAGAGCCAGGAGGACGATCTCTATCTAACTGCATTCAAGGATTATGGAGTCATCCAAGAGCCAAACTCTTGATAAATTGCAGTCGAACGGCGAATGAAAACGAAATACATTTTTTGTTTTTCTTGTGTTACTTTTAACATATTTATTGCATGGTTATATTCGTTTAGTTTTTGGCTAATTACAAATTATTACAAAAAGATAAATATTTAAGGAAACAGCATAGAGAGACATCCACGGTAAGAGTATAAAAAAAAATAGGAATGATTGCAAATCCCGTCGAGAAAACAGTACAGATAAACAACGAACACTTTACATACTTAAGCACTAGATCTATATGTAATAATATATAAATGAAACTCTGGTGCAGAGCTTTGTGCCAATTGAATCCAGGTCGAGGTGTGTACACATCCCACTATGCAATGGGATTCTTTTTCATCAGCTCGATGTCGGCGTTCATCATATCGCTGACCAGCTGCTGGAAACTAACCTTTGGCGTCCAGTTCAACTCCCGCTTAGCCTTGGAGGCATCACCCTGCAGCAGATCCACCTCCGTGGGCCGAAAATACTTTGGATTAATGCGCACACGCACAATATCGGTGTTGCGCTCCATGCCCACCTCCTCGACACCCTTGCCACACCACGTTATCTCGCGTCCAATATGCTTGAACGCAGCCTCAACAAATTCGCGCACGCTGTGCGTTTCCCCAGTGGCAATGACATAATCCGATGGCTCATCCCGTTGCAGCATCATCCACATAGCCTCCACATAATCGCTGGCATGGCCCCAATCTCGCTTCGAGTCCAAATTGCCCAGCTCAAAATATTCCATTTGATTGAGCAGTATCTTAGCCACAGATCGCGTTATCTTGCGTGTCACAAAATTCTCGCCACGTCGCGGACTCTCGTGATTGAAGAGTATGCCATTGCAGGCAAACATGTCGTACGCCTCCCGATAATTGATCACAATCCAAAACCCGTACATCTTGGCGCAGGCTATTCATTTTTTGAGAGTTAGTTAATAGATATTAATTGGGTTTAATCAGCTTACCATAAGGGGAGCGAGGATAAAATGGGGTCTGCTCATTTTGAGGTGTCTCCACCACCCTTGCCATACAGCTCCGACGTGGATGCCTGATAGAATTTAACGGATTTCTCCATGCCGCAGGTTCGTATGGCATCCAGAATCCGCAGTGTACCAACGGCATCCACCTCCGCCGTATATTCACTCAAATCAAATGAGACTTTCACATGCGATTGTGCAGCAAGATTGTAGATTTCCGTTGGCTTCACCATATTGATAATCTTCACCAGACTGCTACTGTCCGTCATATCGCCATAATGCAATTTCATACGTCCGCCCTTGTGCGCCTTTGGATCTGCGTACAGATGCTCAATGCGTGTCGTATTAAAGGTGCTCGCACGCCGGATAATCCCGTGCACCGTATAGTTCTTCTTCAGCAGAAACTCCGCCAGATATGAGCCATCCTGCAAGCAGCATAAGAAATTATTAAGGAAACAATACACGTAAGCATTTACGGCTAAATAAAAAGCAACGTAGCAGCGTAAGACAGAGTTTAATCAATCCGTGACTCATTGTTATTAATTACCCGTTGCTTGTAACTGATAAGCCCTTACCTGTCCCGTTATGCCGGTTATCAGCGCCACCTTGTCACGAGCGTTGGCTGCATCTGTTTCAGCTGCACCGCTGAAGCCGGTCGCTGTGCCATTCAAATCCTTGCTGTTGTGATTGTTGTTCATGAGACGCGCTTGTTTACTGCCGGTGGCCTCATCACTGCTGGTGTTGGACATGGTATTGACGCAGCTGTATCTTTTTTCTTTCTGTTTCTTTCGTTTTATCAGGGTGCAGGTTTAGTATAAACAATTTTTTCTTTATCTACAGCGGCAAATGTTGCCACCCGCATCAAAGATTGCTACAATTTACAAGGTAACGTAAAGAAGTTCCAGATTAAAATTTCGCTAAGAAATCTTTGACGTCACAAATCACTTATAACTTGCTCTCTGAGAACTCAAAAGGTAAATTCAAGAAATCTGGCAGCGCTGGTAAATTCGACGGAACCGACGTACACAAACGCAAGCCAGTTATTAAATTGAATTTATTTATACTCTTAAAATCACTATACAAAATGATGGTAAGTAAAAAAAGAAAAATACTTTAGCTACTATAAGCCAGCTAAATTGCAATAAACAAAGCACTATTGCCGTTGAGGGGTGGAGTCACAAAGAACTGCTTATCAGTTAAATGGGCGTAATTACAATGTGTATATTCATTTCATTGCTTTCGCTTGCAATTAAGGACGGTATGGATGAGTCAAACATATTGAGTAGTCCCGCGGCCAGCAATGGTGCGACAATGGAAAATTCATCACCAAATCCATTAGCGCCGCAAGCGACAACAATGACAACGGCAACAACAACAACGACTACAAATGGCAGCGGAGCTGCAACTTCACCGGATAGTTCGTCGTCGGCACCAGTGACACCTGCTGCTCTCGGCGAGAATGCGCTGCATGTGGAGATCTCCGATGCGCTGAGCGAGAAGGAGAAAGTCAAGTTCACCGTACACACACGCACCACACTGCCGGGCTTCTCCAAAAAGGATAGCAATGTGGTGCGCCAGCATGAGGAATTTGTTTGGCTGCACGATCGCATCGAGGAACAGGATGACTATGCGGGCTATATTGTAAGTTCGTTATCGACGGAAAAAATAAGTAGATTCAGACTGTTATTTAATTCCCAAGTCAACCCCTATAATCATTTACATTTCCGACAGATTCCGCCCTGTCCGCCACGACCGGATTTCGACGCGTCGCGTGAGAAGTTGCAGCGTTTGGGCGAAGGAGAGGGCAACATGACCAAAGAGGAGTTCAAGAAAATGAAATCAGAATTGGAGGCGTAAGTTTGTGCCTTAAAACCTTAGTCCATTTTAACATAATTAAACATGCAGTGACTACCTGGCCACGTTCAAGAAGACAGTTGCCATGCATGAAGTATTTTTGCGTCGTTTGGCCAGTCATCCAGTATTTCGCCTGGATCAGCACTTGAAGGTATTCCTGGAGTATGATCAGGATCTGTGCGCCAAGCCGCGCAAGAAGATGGCCATCTTTGGGGTTTTTGTGAAGTCGCTTGGCAAAACCACCGATGAAATTTTACTAAGCGCTACCGTGCGCGATGTGAATGATTTCTTTGAGAATGAGTTGCAGTTTCTTACCGAGTATCATGGACATTTGCGCGAGGCCGCATCGCGCACTGAGAAAATGACACTTCGTCATAAGGATGTGGGTGATTCCCATCAAAAGATATCGAATGCTTTGACACAGCTCTCCACAACAGAAAAGGGCAACATGGAATCTTTTATCTCCAAGGCAGCCGAAGTCTTTGAACGCATTAAGGTAAGCAATTGAATTTCATTCAATTTGTATTCCTTTTAAATGTGTTGCAATTCTTATTTTTAAGAACTTGGAGAAACGTGTTGCTAGCGATCAGGATCTGAAGCTGGGCGACACTCTGCGCTATTATCAGCGTGATAGCGATGCGGCCAAGGCTCTGCTCATTCGACGCCTACGTTGTCTGGCCTCGTACGAGACAGCCAATCGGAATTTGGAGAAAGCCCGTTCCAAGAACAAGGATGTGCATGCGGTAAATCTTGTTAGAGAGCAGCATTTTTTAAAATTTCAAATCTTGTTTCTTATGCTCACCGTGCTTGGCAGCAATTCTCAAATAATACCCTAGCAGACAACAACTCAACTTGTACTTGTAGTAGAATGTAGTCGCTCATGTTTATGTAAATTAAGTTTAGGGAATTGTGTTATGTCCTTGTTTATCCGATAAGTTACATAACACTCTCTTATATGTCTTCAAACTATAGATGAAATATGACTTCGGATCTATAGTTGATAGTTCTTGTATAGATTATTCAATCAGAACTAAAAAAATAGATATATCCTTTTAATTTTAATTACAATATTTAAACGCTTTGAGAACTCAGATTTATTAACCATTTCCTTTTTATTTTTATTTATCAAATCAACACATATATTAGCATCTGTCAGTTGTCTGTCAGGATATCAAAGCTTCGGTCTACCGAGCATATTTATTCTTTTTCTTTGTGGAAAAAAACACCAACTAATGTGGCAGCTCTAAAAGTGACGTCGTTTTTTCTCTAAATATTTTTTTCTGGCATTTTTGATTTGTTAAACACTTTGTTATTGTTAAATTTCAACGAATTCACCACTTCACATTGCTCTTTTTCTCTTGCATTTCTCTCTCTTCTCTTGTGTGTATTTCTCTCTCTCAATCTCAATCTCTCTGTGCGTGTGGTTGTTTTCCATTCTGCTGCAGCCATTGGAGGTGCAAGAGGTATTTTGCATTTATCGTTAACATACCAATATTCTAGTGTCGCGTAATTCTAATCCCAAAACTTGTAAGACACCATCACATAGTTTATTTTGCTCTTCGCAGTTGCCGCATGTTATTTTAAAAGCAACTCAAAAAAAAAAATCACAACTTTTAGCATGCTTTTTGCTGTGTCTTAACTTTGTTATAGACAGTATCTAATAGTTATACTCTTCCCATGCAGGCCGAAACAGCTCAAGCGGAGGCGTGTGAGAAGTTCGAGTCGATGTCTGCTTGTGGCAAGGAGGAGCTGATGGGTTTCCGTAATCGACGTGTGGCTGCCTTTAAAAAGAGGTATTTCACACAACAATCACCAACTTAAACTCAAATTTACATAATACGACTCTTTTATTTTGCAGTCTTGTTGAGTTATCCGATCTGGAGATCAAGCATGCCAAAAACCAATACGATTATTTGCGTCAATCCCTGTTGGCTCTAAAGGAAATTGCCTGAGAAACGGAGGGCTTGGCATTGACATCATCATTATCTGCACATTGTTTACATACCCATTTAGCCAAGGCGCCCAAGGAGTAAATCAATTGGTTTTTTGCTAAGCAAACAGTTTTATTATCTCTTATTATCTATACATATAAATATAAATATATATATATATATATATATTTAAATGCATATGCATATACGTATACATATATGGCATATGTTAAAGATCTATATTATCGCATTGCATGTATTACTGAATATGATTTTGTTTGTGAAACAAATTCGCTTTTATAACGAGCATTCCTCAATAAACTTTATCATTGTATGAGCATTAAATTCTGAAAATAAAACTATAAACAAACAATCTATGTAACAACTGTCGATTCTCGGTTTTCTTTTAATAATAATGTTTGGAAGTCGTATCCAGGACAACCAACCAACAAAAAGGAAACAAGCTAAAAAATTTCTAATACCACATTGAAATTTTCTATACATAATTAAATATATATATATATATTTATTGGATATATATTTCGGATTTAGTTTTGTGCAAATCATGGATGATTTTGGTTGTTTCGACGCCAAGCAGCCGGCTAGTGATAAAGTGCCAGATTGGCGCACATCCACCTATCGCGGACATCGTCACATTACGGACACTCGACTGGGCAGCAAGTTGAGCGCACCAGCCGAGTACACCAACAAGGGCATCTATGTCCGGGATCCACTGCTGCATGACAAACAGCTCACCGAAATGGGCGCCAATTACACATGGAAGGTGAACCAACAGTTGCCGCCAGCCAATCAATAAGTATAATTTTAACTTAATTGTTATTCTTGTGTCTGTAGTATGGTGATCCGAATGCTTTGCGCAATCCATCGCTGAACATGAAGACGCAGTTCATGAAGTCCTTCGAGGAGTGTAAACTGCGTTTTGTGAAGAGAAAAATTAAGCCAATGACTAGCGTGTCGCAGGACACATTTACATTCGTTGAGCTGCCCTATCAGGCGGAACCGTTGCCCATGCATATGCCCACACCCGTTGAGGCCACCAAAGTACTCATTGATCGTTCGATACCCAGCTCATATACGAAATATTTGGATCCCGGAGCGACCACTTACAACCTGTCATATATAAACATATCGCCAAATGATCGCATTGCAGCCCACGATAATATTACGTATTGGAATTGGTCAGAGCATTGTCCGGCCGTTAAGCATGTGGCTCGGGTTCCCGACGAGACCATGTGCGACACGGCTAATGCCCATGATTGCCCCAAGCGACGCTTGGAGTACCGCAATCAGGTGAAACACGTGCCGCACACGGGTCTTGGCACTGAGGTGCGCGACAACTATGTGAATCCCAAGCTGAACAAGGAGTATATCGAGTACGATATAACCGATGTGAAACCGATTCTCGTCTCGGAGTCGGTGACGCCCTTTGCCCAACTCAGCGAGTACAATGTGTATGGCTCCGGCAGCCCAGTTCTTAAATATGTTTAAATGAATATATAGAATTTTATTTGCGAAACATATACGAAAGTTCTTTTCTTCTAATATACCAAAAAGGAGTGCGGCAACAAATGATAGATGGATGTGACAAGCACTTCGGCATCGTCTTCAAATGCGGGCAGCTGTTCACTGATCTCGGGCGCCCGTGCTATATAGATGGGTATATCCATTTTAGCGAACTCGTGTATGAACTGCCGGCAGACGCCGCATGGGGTCGCATATCCAGACGGATGATAGGCAACCACAGCACCCGCATTGAATACCCGACAGCCTTCGCTGACGCCCTTGACAAGGGCTGTGCGCTCGGCACAACAGCCGGCCGTGAAGGCGACACTCTCAACGTTGCAGCCCGTAAAGACCCGGCCATTTTTTGAGCGAAATGCGGCACCAACCTTGCAATTGCTATATGGCGCATAGGCGTTGCATCGGGCATTCAACGCATCCTCCAACAATTCCCGTCCGCAGTTATCTGTGGTTAATTCATCGTAGCCGTATCAATACCTAGATTAGATTAATCCCTAATTCGCTCCTAAGCTTACCCAGTTGACAGAAACTGATGGTGTATTCGTGTAGCTTTATCGGATGTGGTATCATCTGTGATTCGCAGACGGGATGTCCAAATTTCTGCGGCTGACGCTTGTCCAGCTCACGCTGCAATTCCTTCAGCTGTTCCATATAATTGTTTAGTCTCTTGCATGTCCTGCGCCTTTGCAGCTCTTTATGCAGCCCATCCAGACGTTTCATGCACTTTTTCAGTTCCTTGCGCTTCTGTGACATACTTGTTGATTTTTATTTTACTTCAATTTTAGTAATTTTTCCACTCGCCTAGTCAAAAGCAAATATATATATACATAATATATATATACATATATATATCAATAAAAATAATACTTCAATTATGACATTTTATTAGCAGTAAGCTTCCGCTTGCTGAGGTCATTTCTAAATAAATACATCAGATTATAAGCGTTGCATTTGCTTTCGACTTTGGTGACCAATATTGGTTATCAGGTCAGGAAGTAGTATGATAATATGTGTGATTCCCAAATTTCAGTACAACTTGAACAGTTGTTTCTCTATATAAAGTTGCATTAAAAAATTTTGAGTATTTTTTGTTTTTAGCTGTTAAAAATGCAAAAGTGAATTTGTTTGATATTAGCCTAGAAACATACTTTCAACCGGTTCCAAAGAGTGATGATTAATAACACAGAAAAACAACAACAATTACTCTAAAGAGCAAAAACAAGATTTTTCAATTTTTTTCACTAGAATAACATTTTGTCTTTATTTTGTAGATTGTATAGATAAAAGAAACAGACGTGTGTCTATATGTAAAGTGATTGCGATTATGTTAGCCTTGAAACTCTCAATAGATAAGCCGATTAGTTAGTAGGCGTGGAAACTGTTTGGCAATAGATTAAAGATGGATGTACAAAGAACAGGATCTTCGCTGGCAAATGGCACTTCGGGCGAACGCTCATCCCGGGCTTGTGCTATATAGATGGGTATATCAGTGCTACCAGCGAACTCTCTGATAAACTGCCGGCACACGCCGCACGGCGAAACGAACACATCGGGCTTATAGGCGACAACGGCGCCCGCCGCAAACTGCTGATAGCCCTCGCTAACGGCCTTGGTGAGAGCGGTTCGCTCCGCACAGGAAGTTGGCGTAAATGCGGCATTCTCAACATTGCAGCCGGTAAAGATGCGATTGGTGGTGGGGCTGGTGCGAAAAGCGGAGCCAACTTTGAAATGGCTATAAGGTGCATAGGCACGCTGGCGCACCAAATGTGCAGCAAGGAGCAATTCCTTATTCGCTGTATCTGCGTAAACGTCATAATAGTGATAATGATAACATACTATCAGCCACACATCAGAACTCACCCAATGTGCCGTATTCCACCACCGTCTCTTTGACCTCTGGCTGGGCCAAGCCTTTCATCAGATCAGACATAATAAATATGAAATTTGTTGTTGCGGGGGCGAAACTTTGTTATTTATAATTATAATTATTATGCCGCAACGTTAGAAACGTATTGCGTGTGTCTACCTCGACCGTCCGTTGGCAAATGGACAGTTTTTGCTGACCGCTCACCGTTAGCTTGTCTAAAATATTGTTTTCAGTTAGCGTCAAAAATAAACACACACACTTCGGCTGAAAAGAGCACCGATGAGCAGAGCAGCAGATTTTCGCCTGATAAGAGCAGAGAGCCTACGTCAATTATATGATTGAAGAGCACAAGATGCACAAGCAGTATAACAAATATGTACATATGTATATACTCGTAGAATACTACGGCGACGACTATTAAAACTAATATGTACATAGACAACAAATTTTGGGGTGGATTTACAATTTCACGCAAAAGACAAAAATGGGGTAATCACACGGAGTATTGCACATAAATGTAGGTAGTATAGGGTATTTCAAAATTAACAAATTAAATACACTGTTATTCGTGATTCGATGTGAGTTTGCCACTTATTTGCCATTCAGGAAACTGAAGCTATTGGGCAACAATTGCAGAACGCTGGTGCAGAGAACACGGAGCGGCAAATTTGTTGGCTTTGCGGCATATAACGGTATATCCTTGCCATTGATGGCAAACTCGGATAAAAACTGACGACAGACGCCGCAAGGCGTTGTGAATCCCTTCTCCTGCTGGGCAACCACGGCACAGGCAATAAACTCACGTTTGCCTTCGCTGAAAATAAAAACAAAGAAATCTGAAACTGTCTCTAAATAAAAATATTGGAGAATTGACTCACCTTAAGGCCTTCACAGCCGCGGTTCTTTCGGCGCATATGCTTGCGGCATAGGCACCATTCTCGATGTTGCAGCCCGTATAAATGGTACCATCGCTGGTGCGGATGGCGGCGCCAACGGCGAAATTGCTATATGGACAATAGGCATTATTTCTGGCTTCCGCTGCGGCTCTAATCAGCTCCTGAACGGAAACATCTGCAAAACAACAAACACAAAGCATAGCATAATTGAATAGATAGCTGTGTGTATTTATCTGCTCACACCTAGACTGTCGTGATCCCGAACATTGGCTTCATCTCTGGCACCATTAATGTACACCTGCGTCATTGCTCTAGTTCCTCAACGATCTAATTCTATCACGCTGTTTTTGCGTTCTAATTTTTTGCTACGATTTGACAACTTTATGATGATTTATCTCAATTAACTGCATTTGATTGGATGCGTAACTCGGTACGTTAACTAAAACATGGTTCTTATTGGGCTTCTATTGAGTGGCAACTATTACGACATCATTTTGTCTGACGTCAATTGGAGATATATTGTTGGTTTCGTTATAGGGAACGGAGACTGTAGCTTCGACTCAGCTGTTTGAAAGCCAATACAAACGTTATCGATTTATTCTGTACTTATTGCTCTCTAAACAGTGTTGACATTTTAGCTTTTTTCTGGCTCTTCGAATGACTATCAATATTTTCTTGCTATTTGTTATAATTACTTAGCATATTTTAGTTAATTTGATAGCTAGTTTTATAAACAAGTAGAGCCATTATTATTTTATTAATAAGCAACAAACGTGAGATTGAATGCCTGAATAATGATTTGAATATCTTCCGCCCTCCACAAAATGCAGCTAAATGTAAACAGGGAAAATATGCTGTTTTTCGATATTTTATGTCTCACAAGTTTCAGCTATTTTAAATCGATAGTCTAGCTATTTTTGCCTAGCGATAGTTAACGACAAATTTTGTAAACAAAAAGTTATGTATATGTGTGTATGTATTTCTGTGTGTATGGGTTATTCAACGTTATCAGCCAAATAAACGATAACTGGAAAAATTTAACAAGTTAAACAGCATATTGATACACAGGCGGTACATTGTTGTGAGTTTAGTTGCGCTAGTTGTGTTTTGTTCCACATACCTTAAATATGTCGTCGTCCAGCAATCAACAACCTTCGGAAGACGCTGAGCGCGCAATGGGCGGAGGCACAGATCGGGTGCCGGAGCGTTTGCCACCCATTGACTTTGATATGGATCGTTTTCCTTATTGCATTGTGTGGACACCGATACCAGTGCTGACCTGGATAATACCGTTCATCGGCCACATGGGCATCTGTATGAGCAACGGCGTCATTCGGGATTTTGCAGGACCATATCTGGTGACGGAGGATAAAATGGCCTTTGGGCGTCCGACTCGCTATTTGCGACTGCATCCGAAACACGTCGAAGGTGGAACGTATTCTTGGGATGAGGGTGTATTGAAGGCATCGGTACTCTATGGCACACGCACCCACAATCTGTTCTGTGACAACTGTCACTCGCATGTTGCAACGGCTCTGTGCAATATGCGGTACAAAGATAGCACCAGCTGGAACATGATAATCCTATCGCTTTGGATGTTTGTTTGTGGCCGTTATGTTGGCTTTTGGGGCTTCATTAAAACATGGTTGCCATTTGCATTAATACTTACACTTATCATTCTGCTAGCCGTGTACTTCTAATTCCTGCAACTAATGCCGCATTATCAATTATAAATATGTCTTTAGCATGATGAATGTGTATTTGTATGTAGATAAGAATGTAATGTATGTATTTCGATTTAATATAAAATGCTAAGTACTATCTATGACTTGGGCCAACTCTTTTATTTCTGTTTTTGGGGCTCATTCTTCAAGGGCGCGAGTAACATCATCGGCACAGGCGAGCAGTTTTCGCCACTGCGAAGCCGACAGCGAAATACCCTTTTTGCCCGGCAACACTTTGCCGTCCTTTTCGTAGTGTTCGCGTATGTCGACCATTTTGCGACCACGAAACTCGTTGATGCGCACCTGGCGCATACCCTCCAGTGTCCATGAGGAAGTGCCATCACCACCATCTCCACGCTTGACAGCCGATTCATTCTTATTGGCTTTGTTCGAGGTGCTATCCTCCTTTGCCTTCTTACTTGCCGGCGGCGGATTGCGCTGCCAAACATATATTTGGTTATTTAACATTACAAATTGAACGAATGTCAGTTGCTAAATCCACTTCTTACTTACATCTTCTGGACCGCTGTCGCTGTCAGATGAGGAGCTTTTTTGTTTCCTTATTTTTGGCATTTTTATTTATGGAGTCGAAAGTCTTTTCCCAAAAATAATATTTGGCGCAAATTATTTCGCGTCGGCTAAAGTGACATTCACACACTCACACTGAAAGTTATCGATATGAAATTGACATTCAGTGTCGTCCAAAATATTGGCGTTGATATTCGCAGGTAATCGAAATTTAGGCTGGACGCCGTTTTTGCCGCATTATTTCGCGGCGCGCACTGATTCTCGAAAATATATTTTACGATTTCTGCTTATAAATATAATAAAAAGCAAGAAAAATATCGAATTTCAACTTCACAAATCAGGTACTTGAAAAATAACAATTTGTGGTGTGAGTCAGTTTGTTCAATAAAGAAGTGTACAATTTTCTCATTTTCCTCTTGTGTTCATACATGCATGCATATGCACAAACACACATGCACCCACACACACACTAACAAATATACATGCGCGTTTATATTTTTGTTAGCTCAAAAAGACTTCAAACACAGAAATGGGAAAGAAGTCGGATAATCCAGAGGAGAATGACGCCTCCTCTGGCGGTGAAGAAGAGGAAGAAAATTATGCAGTAGAGAAAATCATAGATCGCCGTGTACGAAAGGGAAAGGTTGGTTTTCCTATTTTTGCTGTTGGTGTCACAACGGAAATTAATCAAATCAATGCTGATGCTCTTCCTGATTTTCATGTTTTAGGTGGAATATTATTTAAAGTGGAAGGGTTATGCCGAAACTGAAAATACTTGGGAGCCGGAGAGCAATCTCGATTGCCAGGATCTCATTAGACAGTATGAGTTGGATCGAAAGGATGGGGTAGGTGCTCATTACGCCTAGTTGTTGTGTGGCTTGATATTAATCTCGTTTTCTGTGCAGGCCACTGCAGCGGCCAAGAAATCGGAGCATGCCGGCGGCAGCCCCAAGATCAAAGAAACCGGTACTGCATCCAACAATAGCAGCGGCAAACGTAAGTTTGAAGACGAAGGTATGCCAACTGCGAAATCCATTTCATATGGAAGCTAACCAAAAATATCTTGTTCATTTCTTAAGCTGGTCCAGCTGGCACTAAAATGAAGCGTGTCGAAGCGGAGGAGACCAACGATTTGATACCCGCTGGTGGCACCGGTTTCGATCGAGGCCTGGAGGCTGAGAAGATTTTGGGCGCCTCCGATAACAATGGTCGCCTAACATTCCTCATACAATTCAAGGGCGTCGATCAGGCCGAGATGGTGCCATCGACTGTCGCGAATCTGGCGATACCACAAATGGTCATACGCTTCTACGAGGAGCGTCTGTCCTGGTACTCGGACAACGAAGATTGAATAGCAATTTCTGGAGCGGCCCCATATATATATATATATAAATATGAGGTGAATCATAAGTATCCTTTTTATTAATATCCCATTTTAAACCTCATGTATTCTTAACATAAGATTTAATTTCAATAAACATGAAGTTATGTGTGTTCAACATCGTGATTGTCGTTCCTTGAACTAGGGATTCAGCAGCTTGTTGGCCACATTGCATTCAGAGTTCTCCAGCACATTGCCGCAGCAGGACCAATGCCGCCGGCCCGGATGTCCGGCATGTCCATGGCCACAGCCACTGTAGCCGGGCATGCGACCCTCGCAGGAGCACTTGACACTCTTGCTACCCTTTCCGGAGCAGAAGGCGCAACAATGATAGATGCCATTATGCGGACGCACCTGACGCGACTGGAAGGTGAAAGGACTGCCCTTGATTTGCCGTTCATTGATGCAGATCGTCAACACCAGCGCACCCTGCGTGTCCGGCGTAAAGGAGATGCTATAGGTGCCATCCCGATGATCGGACACTTCAATGGGCAAAAACTTGGCACTCGCATCCTTGTACTTAATCATGCAATTGATCTCCAGCCCGCCATGGCACAGCGCCACCCCATCCACATCGCGTGACAGCAGCAACAAATCCACCTTCTTGTGCAGGCGCAGCTGCGAGAAACCCTCCCATTCCAGGGTGCACAATGATGGCTCCACGGTTTGCATCGTTATAATGCCATACAGGGGTATGTCATGCTGATCCTTCTTGCCAGGCGCTCGTATTTTGGCTAGAAAATGCAATGAATCCGATATCTGTAAGGAACAAGGATTATGATCAGATGAGAGTCCCTTTGTGTCAAGTGCTAACCAATTAGCACTAGATCATTCACCTTGGGATCCACTGGCGGCTTAAACTGTTGACAATATTCGAAGCGCTTGAGGAGAATCCGAGCAAAACTTAAAATCTCAACATCGGCGCCAATGTCACAGAGCTCCTGACTAAAGCGTATCGCATCCATGGCCAGCTGCGTGCGTTTCTCTGGAGGATTATAACAGGTGTCATTAAAGTAGTTACAAGATAATTAAAAACTTACCCAGCTCGAGTTGTTGTTGAATTATTAGCTCCACCTTGGACTCCCTGGCGCGACTGATCTGCTGGAGAAGCGTGCTACGGTGCGCTTGCAGTGCCTCAAAATAGCGATTCATATAGGACTCCACCTGGGCCTGGATGTCATCGCAGCGGGCATTTATGCCGCGCGTGATCTCATGCAGTCGTTCAATGGAGTGCTCTGCATACTGGCACAGTGGACGAGTCTGATCCGTTGCCTCGTTGAGTTGCTTGCTCACTTGCAGCTGAAGAAATGCCTTGGCGACCAGCTCATGCCGATGATTACGATGCTGCAGCACCAGACAGTCCGGACAAGCCAACTGCCAGAGGAAAAACCATGTCAAGAATAACCAATTGAGATGCATGCCGGATGCTCACCTGTTGGCAGGGCAGACAAAAGGATTTCAGCTCAAAGCCGTGCAAACCACACTTGAGCAGCAGATGACTGTTGTCGCCCAATCCAAGCTGTTGCTGCTTCTGTTTGCGCGCACGCCTCAACTCCAGTATATTTCGCATGCGATGGTTGGCCGTGCTGCGCTGCCTTTCATGCGCATCCTTGCACAGCGTGCAGAGATTCAAGGTGCAGCTAATGCAATGATAGGTGGCCTGCAATATATATTAACGTGCTGATAAATCACATCTCCTTTGAATAGCTGGCAATCTCACGCTGATTTCCTCGCTGCACAGAGAGCACCAGACGCGAGAGATGACATCCTCACCAGCCTGCAGACGCAGTGCCTCAATGCGTCGCACCAACAGAAAATTCTGCGGCAATTGTCGCACGCCGCCCAATGCCGGTAGTTCCGTGGTGTACTGGCAATGGTGACAATGGATGCACCGCACTGTCTCCGGCTCACTCATAATGCTCGCGGAGGTGTAGGCCAAGTTCGAGCGTTTGCCCTGCTATAGGCAAAGATTCCATTAAATTGGTTATACAGATTGAAACTAGAACTTACTCGAAGCACCATGCGATCCAAGGATTTCTTGCTGCGCAGACTGAGACTTGTACCGCGCTGCCTGGCCGGGGAAACTGTGGCCAATTCACTGGTTATATCTGGTGTGGAGGAGATGATGCTGTAGCTGGAGCGATCTTCCCACAGAGACTCCTCTTTGAGATTCTCATTGACTAAGCACTGCAGACAGAACGAGTGTAGGCAGTGCAGCGTGCGTGGATCTGTGTACACATCCATGCATATGGCACACTTGAGATCCTCCGGAAAACTGATGCTCACATAACTGCTGGCCGGTGGCAAAGTGAAGCTGGGCGATGGCGTTGCCTGTGGCGTGCCCGCCGGCGATGGCGAACGGCTGCGGGAGATCATCGATGTGTTGTCATAGAATTCAGCGCCTGATGCTGGCAGCAGCATCGAATTCATCTCCGGATGTATGCCGCTATCCGGCGTTGGCGGCGATATACGCAACTCCGGTGAAGCCTTCAAGCTGAGCACTCGTTTTGGCACCGGCGAACGGAGCTGACTTTGATTGATCATCGCAATGGGTGGTGCTAGGGGTGCTAGTGGCGCTAGGGGTACTTGTGGTGCTAGGGGCACTTGTGGTACTACTGGTGGTGGTGGTGGTGGTGCCACAGTAATATCACTGGCACTGCTGCTACTCTGCACAGTGGTGGCAGAGGCGCCACTCAGCAAGTTGTCCAACAGCGATTCGGGTGAAGTGGAACTACCTCCGGTGATGCTGCTGCTGCTCGGATCACTGTTGCTCTCCGCCGAGGTGAGCTGCACACACTAAAAATGGTATGTTTTAATTAAAGCAAGTAACAATGAAAATAAAAAGGTTTCAGTTTAATAATAACAAGTAATTCTGTACTCGCCACGATATACCCTGCATTAAATATATTCTTGTTTGATTGCCTTATTTCCCTTTTAATGTTTTGCGGGGAATTTCTTTCCGGGGAATTTCTTTCTCTTATGGCAGGCAATTGAACAGCAAAATAAACTATAGTACCGCATTCACTTCTTTATAAGCCCCAACTGAAATTGCCGGTTTGGGATAAACGTTTGTATATACATACATACATACTGATACACACACACATAAATATAAAAATACATTCAACCATACATACGGACACATACATACGGACACATACACACACTAAAGTAGATAACGGGTCGCTTTAGAATACACACACAAAAATATTTACGCTAGCGTCGATTATCTTGCTATCCCTTTCTCATACATGCGCTAGCATATACATATTGTATATGCATACAAAATAAATTTGCGCCTGCAATAATGAGATCAATATGAGGATAAGTTTTCGGCTATAAATTAAGTGTGTCTAATGCGATCTTGATGAAATTACTCCAATTAACCAATAATATATCAATGCATAATATATACCAATAAGAAGCAACTGCATTTAAAATTGTGGCTTTTTTTGCTATCGGAAATCGAAATGTATCGATATCTGCAAAACGGAGGCAGTTATCGATCAAATATAATAAACTTGATATGCAAGGCATATATGCGATCTTATATTCCAAATTTAAAGTCTCTAGCTCTTATACTATTTGAGATCCGCGGACGGACATGGCTATATCGACTCGGCGGTTGATCCTGATCAAGAATATATGTACATATATACATTAAGGGGTCGGAAATGCTTTCTCTTGCATAAAACCATTATACCCTTTACCTTTACATTTACAACAAAGAGAGAAAATTTGAAATTGTAATTAATTTGAATTTTTGAATCTTCTCACATTTTGTAGGTCTTCTTGTTGTAAGCCCAGGGTCCGCGAGCGCCTGATGCTGCTGCTCAGCTTGTGGGCCGGCAGACGTGGCACAATTTGAACTTCACCAAATGCAGTCGCCAGCTGCGGAGCAATGCTAAAGGTCAGCAGCTGTGGCGCCGACTTGCGACGCAGTGCATCCAAGCTGATCGAATCCAATTGTTGCTGTTGCTGCTGCTGTAGTTGTTGTTGTGTGGTGCTATTTTGTAGCCTTATCTTGCTGGTGCTCAATTTGAGCTGCATTTTGGCATTTTGAGTAATTGGCGTTGTCGTTGTTGGAATTGTTGCTGTTGGAATTGGAGCTGTTAAATCGGCAGCAGTCAACTGCATTCGCTCATAGTCGATGAGGTTGCTCTTCGAGTGTCGTTTGAATGTGAGTTTCGTTTGTTTCGCGTTGTTATTGCTTTTATTCATTTTTATTTTACTCCATTCATTTACTTATGCAATCGCTTTGCGGAGAGGGCAAATTACTGTTCGCTGAATTTGCAATTGACCAATATCACCCTGACAGCTGCGCGTTCCGTTTCTAACTGTTCTTTTGTCGAAGCTGGAGCTTTGGTGACCAACGCGTCGTATGCTTAATCTAATTACTAGAAAAGGCAAACCAAATGTGAAATGGGTAAAATGCGATATGTGAAACGGTTACAACTGACAACAGGCAAATGTTTGACATTGCCAGTTGTGGTTTGCATTCGATTCGCTCTGAAATGGCTTTGCTAGCTTACATTTGAAGCCCTCACCTCGAAACCAACTGACAATTATAAGTGACAACTTAATATTGTTCTCTTGATAGCTTGTCAGCTATCTTGAATCTGTGAAATTCCAATCAACATGTTAAAGAATATAAGCATAAAATAATAAGGTCATAATGCCATTATCTATTTAAGTAGTTACAGTTACTATAAAATTTTAAATTAAAAAGTATTAACAGACTTTAATTAGCATATTACATAATTTTCCATGGCAGAAATTGTCTTTGGGATTGACATTTAATTTGAAGAAAACTATTCACATAGTGTTTAAAAAGTTTGCCTCATTTAAATGTCAAATGAATTTACAGTTCATTCCAAGACGAAAAATTCCGCAACGAAATCGATAAAGCTTTGATTTGGTTATGAATGTTAGAAGTCAAGCGAGATCTCTCAGATTTCTATCCAAATCTTGACACATAACACCATTAACTAACATCACCAAATGAATGCGTACATTATGTTTCTCTCCAAATTATAGCTTTTCTATTTATGAATGCTTTACTTTTATATTTTAAAGTCTACACCACAAACTCAATGCATTGTTATCAAACTGCAGCATTTATTTCGTGTCGATCAACATGTCATCACTGCTCCCTCCCCCACCAGCTCTCTTTCTCTCTCACTTTTACTCTCACTCTCTTTGTTTGTAATAGTGACGAAGCTTTCCCGCAAGTTTCAATTGTTGCTGCTGTTTTTGCTTCTCTCAGCCAGCGCTCTCCCACAACAACATTTATTCTTAATGACGGGAGAGCTTTTTGCCCCCAAACCCAACACACGCGCTGAGGGGCCCTCAGTGCAATTTGCGATTGAGCGGCGTGCGTACGTTGTTAACGGTTGTTTTCTGCTCAACTCACAATCGGCAGCGACAAAATTGTGGGTTGCATGTGCCTTCTCCTCCACGTTTTTATTTCGACATTTTGGCTTCTAAAAAATCGCTCAACAGCTGCACAGAACAGAACGCCCCTCAGCAGCAGAAGCGAACAACTTTCTATTTTGCTTTTGTTGACTGTTTCCGATATGCTCTTTTCTCTTTTAAGTGCCAAATTAATATTGTGAATCGGTGTTGTGAAACAGTCCTCTATGCAACAGCAAAGGTTTCTCAAGTCTACATAATTATAAAACATATTAATATGTACAGATTCCATTTCACTCCGTTACATTTTTAGTGTACCCTCTCTCTCTTTTGCCCGCACGCGCTCTCTCTTTCTCTCTGCGTGTTGTGATTTTCGTTCTCTCCGCGGCGTCTTTTCATTTTGTTTTGCTTTCGATTTTCAAAGTTTTCGGCAACCGGTAAAGATAAATATAGAAACATCAACATGGAAACGGTAAGCATGACTTAAAAACGTTAAAGTTCTATGCCAAACAATTGCGTGCATATTGGTATTAAAAGCTGGATGGCGAGCGTCAGTCTCAAAGTGCAAATGTGATAAAGTGATTTGAGGGGGGCGCATTGCGCAAAGGGTTAAAGTCCCCGCTTGCGCCATGTAAAAAAACTGGCGTTTGCGTGTGAGAAGCCCCATCGCGAGGCCTGCTCTGGTTTATCAGAAGAAAGAGTCTAAATAAAAATTAGTATTATTAACATCTAAGCGGATTAACGGTTAACTTTATTTAGCTTTGCTCAAGCACATTTTAAGTGAGTTGCTTTCAGTTAAAAATTGTAAACATTTTGTTATCGTATACCAAAATATCACTGAGAATTCAAGAAATGATTATCTAAACTATTCCCAATCTCTTTTTCTGCTCTCCTAATTTCAAGAGTAAATAGATCGCTATATATTCTGAAAATAAAATTGCTTGTAAGATTCTTACGTTGTTTCATTTAAGACACCAGAGATAAGTCGCTTTTATCACATAATAATAAATGTTTTATTACAGACAGATGAAAGCTACAGATTCGGGAGCGTTGACTATATCGTTTTTCTGGCCATGATATTTCTATCCACTGGAACAGGCATTTATTTTGGCTGCCTAAAGTGAGAATTTACCCAACACTACTCAACCCTGTGGATACTTAAAGTTTTAATTGTTTTAGAAAAACAAAAAAGATCACTGAGGAAGTTGAACCAACACTGCAAACGACCACACCAAAAGAGGTGCGAAAACATAATTTTGGTTCGGAAAAGATGAGCGAATATCTGCTGGGATCGCGACAACTGAAAGTGTTTCCCGTTGCCATGAGTCTGATAGCCAGGTGATGACATATATACACATAGTATCTGTTAGATAAATGGAAAAACATGCTAACGGCTATAACTTATCTATTCCCGTCTCGTTAATCTACAGCTATGTGTCGGGCGTGACAATATTGGGCACCACATCAGAGATATATAATTATGGCACACAATACTGGTTTATTGCCATTGCCATTATTCTGCAGGGCATTGCTGTCTCCTATATCTATATACCAGTATTTACGACTCTACAAGTCGGCTCCTCCTATGAGGTAGGTGCACATATACATCTTTAAAACTGTATCATTAAACTTAATGACCCCATCGTAACAGCGTAGTGTATAAACTAATTGTTAAAGAGAATCACAAAAGCAAGTGATAAGAAGAAACCCGACTCTTGATATGGTATTCAATTAATTTATACCGAGGACGTAATGAAATTGAATGGGTTGAATTGATTGCGGGTCAACATATGCCGAATGCATAAAATTTGTTGATTCACAAACTTTCCTAACGCATTTACACGATCACATTTAGTGATTGTAAAAGTGTAGATAAGAATTAAATGCACGTTTTTGATTATTATTTATCTGCTTACAATTTTCTCAAGTGCTATTTGTCTATGAAATAAAAAACAAAACAATTTGTGTTTATAGTAAAACAGCAGAAATATGATTTATTTAATGTTTTTTATAAATCAAATTTAAGGCAACTATAAAAAGTTCATAATCACAAAAGCTAAAAATTATTTAAAAAAATTTAAATTTGAAGTTTATTTTATATAATTTCTTCTGTAATATTTAGAAAACTAGAATCTACGTCTGATTTTAGACACTTTTGTTCCTCGTTTCTTTTTATTTATATTTGCATTTTGTTCTTGTGATTCATCACCTTCAGCGACTTAGAAATTTCAATTTGAAACACAAGTGCCAATTGTAGCGTACATTTTAATTAACGGCAGACGATAGACGACAGTCTACCAATGCTTTCCATATTCAATGGACTTTGATCGCCTTATTGGTTGCTCGCTGCTCGTACGTACAAAAGTTTCGTGATGATTAATTACAAATTTGATTCGTAGTTTCAAGCCACTTGACAGTTGTGGGTTTTGCTCGTGTCCATATCATATTTAAAATAGATGGTCTGTTAAGGGTTAAATGTGAAATGTTTGAATTTGTGAGCTATTACTGTATCTATTTAGTGTCTATTAGGTGTTTACTAAATGAAAGCACTAAGCATATTTAAATATTTATCTATATATATATAGTGGCTTAACTGAACAGCCGGACGGTTATATAAAAACCCAATTGTAATTTTATACATTTAAATATTGTGTGGATATGTGTGGACAAATGTGACTCTTAGAAATTATAAACAAGTCTGAAACCGAATCGTTTTAATTTGCAAGCAACAAGTGTTTTGAATATATAAAAATAAAGCAATAATTCATAAACGTTTTTCAATTTTACAGTATTTGGAAATGCGCTTCCATTCGATTATACGTAGCATAGCATCCTTTATGTTTATTCTGGATGAGGTGAGTCTCTCCACGTGGACATTTTCATGTCTGTCATCCAATTACTATTTAATTCTTTTGCAGATACTCTTCCTGCCATTTGTTGTCTATGTGCCCGCCATTGCATTGAATCAAGGTGAATCAATCTAACATATATTTAACAATGAGATATATTGAAAAGTTCTCCGATTATTTTCACAGTTTCGGGCATTAATTTGCATGTGATATCATCGGTGATTGTGATTGTGTGCGTCTTCTACACCTTTGTGGGTGGAATTAAGGCTGTGGTGCACACGGACGCCTGGCAGACGATGGTTATGTTCCTCTCGGTGCTCGCGGTTGCCGCCCTGGGCACCTATTATGCCAACGGATTCGAAAAGATTTTCGATGATGCCAGCAAAGGTGGTCGTGTGATATTTGGCAACACGAATCCATCCCCATATGTGCGTCATACGGTTTGGAGTGTACTCATCGGTGGCTTCTCCTATTGGACATCGTTCAATGCGGTGAATCAGACAATGGTGCAACGTTATATGTCCTTGCCATCGTTGAAACAGGCACGTGCCTCGATGGCCATCTTTACAATTGGAGTCGCTGCATTCATCTCGCTCTGCTGCTATCTGGGCCTGCTCATCTTCGAGAAGTATCAGAATTGTGATCCACTCAGCGCTGGTCTGATTACACACGACGATCAGCTGCTGCCGCTGTTTGTGGTGCAGAGTGTTGGACACATCCGTGGCATAGCGGGTCTCTTTATAGCCGGCATCTTTGGTGCCGCCCTCAGCTCACTCTCAGTGGTGCTGAATTCCACATCACTGGTTATACTCGAGGACATTGTGCGCGGTTGCTTTAGGATGCAGCCAAGTGAGCGCACCTCAACAGTGCTTGTGAAGGGTTCGGTTATCATACTTGGTGCGGTTGCACTTTCGCTCGTCTTTGTTCTCGAGCGTTTGAGTGGCATTTTGAGCATTTGCACCTCGATGACAGCCATTGCAGCGGGCACAACTTTTGGCCTCTTCACACTGGGCATGCTGGTGCCGTGGGCGAATAATATTGGCACTGCAGTGGGTGGCATTGCCAGTGCCCTGCTCTCCGGTTGGATATCCTTTGGCACCCAGTTCAGCATTGCAGCAGGTGAGCTCAACTCACAGAAACTGAACATCTCTGTGGAATACTGTGCAACGAATGTGACGCAGCCCGAGAACGTTTGGGTGGACGAGGAGCAGGTGTTTCCATTATATCGCTTATCCTATCACTGGATAAATCCCATTGGTGTGGTAACCGTTATTGTTGTCGGTTCGATTGTATCGATGCTCACAAAACCCACCGATATAAGGACACTCAATGCGCAACTGTTGTCGCCAGTGATACACCGATTCCTGCCAAAGGAATGCTTTGCTCCGCGCGATCATCAGCATCAGACGCAGCCGCAAATGAACCTACTAAATCGCACATAAGAATCGTGAATCGTTATAGTAATATATATATATATATATATATATATATGTATATATGAATTCCTACAGGACAAGCTCTGTTTGCCAGCAGAGTCGCAGCTCCCATATTACATTCTTTAAGTTTATTATAGAGTTTAGCTTAACTTATATTATATATATATGTATAGCGTTTAGAGTCTAGAGTTGTCTATTAGTACAAATTGCAGTTCGATTTCATTATCTTTTTATTCTCTATGTAGAAGGGCGCACACGACTTAAATATGGTACAGGAATTTATGAATCTGCACACACACAGACAGACACAAGCTAATTGTTGTATTTTATATATATATTGGTTATATTCATGTACTTATTTAGCATTATTTGTTTGTTTTTTGTTAAACACATTTCTTTGGCATTTTTGTTTGTTATTGTTCAACTTGTCTGCAGACTGTGTCTCAAATTCCGTGTGACTTAGCAAGCATAATGTCTGTGATAAAAAATTTAATAAATATACGCATATATTTATATACATATTAATATATATAAGAAATAAGTTTGCTATTTGATATGATGCAAGCTGCGTATGATGTGTGAGCAGCAAAGAGCGCATATTCTAGCATTACGATACCTAAATTAAGCCTCTCTAATTTGGCCATGAATCACAAAATGAGCGATTAATCCCCCGATTGCTCGTCGTACTCCACGTAACTCCGTTAATTATGCTTCTGATGCGTCAACTCCTCCTCCAGCATCGCCTGCCTGCGTCGACTTAAATAGTTGCGCAACTGGTAGGCAATTAGCATCAGGCAGGCAACTCCAGCGCTTACATAACTGTTGGATACAAATTGCTGTGGCAGCATTTTGCATCTGAACACCGCATAATCATCCGGCGTAATTGTGGCCTGCAGTGATAAGCCAAATTATTAAGCATAACAAGCAAAACTGATCGAATCGGTGGTGACCGACGGGGAAAGATTATTTTTGACTTTTAGATTTCCATAGTAAAATCCTTAAAATCCTCAACTTACCAGCATAAAACTGGGATTGACATTGTTGCGCCAGCTGAAGGAAGCCACCGTAAACTCATCGATGCCCAATCGATTGACGTTGTGACAATAGTAATGCGAGTGTCCGGCAAAGGCCAGACGTGGCTTGAGCAGTTCCCCCAACAGCTCTGTGGCATCCTTGGAGAGCACATGATAGCGCTCCCTGTATGCCTCAATATGCGGCGCGTCGTGTTCGCTGCACACCTTGTCTGATATGCGATATGTGGGAAAATGTTGCATGATGATGGGCTGGCTATACGGATGACGACGAGTCCTTGCGCATTCCGCTACATGCGGATGTTGCATGCAGTGTAACGTTCGCGATATATTCTTTAGCGCCGACTCCGCCTCGTTGCAGAACATGCAGCCATCGGCCTCCATGGCCATGGAATTGACAACGACAAAGTGTATCTGCTTGATGGTGTACAAATGCACCTTGGAGAAGTTCAGATAATTCTCAAAGCGTGTCATAAAGAAAGGATGCATTCTGTAACCAAAGACTTGTGTTAGAATCTGGCAATTTTGGTTCAACTCCAGCGCTACTCACTTGTAGTGGAAGCCGACATCATGATTGCCGACCACACTGATTAGTGGTATGCCCGCGGGTAAATTAAACATCTGCAAATAGCGCCAAACATACTCCTGGAACTGTTTGTCGCTGACCATGTCGCCCTCGTCAAACAGATCGCCCAGCACGAACACAACGTCCGGCTGCAGCAGCCTGGAGGCGGCCTGAAAGGAACGCGTCATGTGCCACTCGCGGTAGAGCTTGTCCAGCCAATGGCCACGATGAGGTCCCAGCAAATGGGGATCGGCTATAATCATGGCACGTAATGGATCATCCACGTATTTCTTGCGCCGTATCTCGGGCCATTTGCACTTTTGCAGCACCACAAAATCGGCAACGTACTCGCAAAAGATTAACGCACACAATATGATCACAAAGCACGCGTAAAGCCAACGCATTTTGTTGCAATTAAGTAATAAAATCACCTGCCGGCGAGTCAAACAGATGCAAAAACGCCAATACAAAGTGTAGGGCTGGCAAAACATTTATGTCGCTAACCAGGGATGTACGTTATTCTTACTCATAAAATCGATAAATCGATAACTGTTTCAATTGGCGCTAAAAGCAAAAAATATTAAATGGAAATATTGTTAGAGTTAATAAAAATATTGAATGGAAACATTTTTATGTCCACAGTTAGTACAAAAAGTTGCTAATTTTATTAAGCACACAGTAAATTCGCACACAGATTATCATTTTTGCTTGGAATGCATTCACTTTAGAAGAGATCGTAGAAGTAGTTTAAGCCCTGACCCAGCTCCCAAATGGAGATGCCAACGCCCAGTTCCTGGGCCAACTTGATGCGCTCATTGATCGAGTAGAGTGTTGGATAAAACACAGTATGGCGACCAGTTTCAGTTCTACAAAATGAATATGATATAAAATTGCACGGCTCGTTTCAAACTTTGCTGCAACTCACCTGATCTCAAAGAAGTTTTCCACATCGCGCTCATCATTTAGCAGCGGTTTCTTGAGTGGCCTGACCAGCTCCAGGTACTGATTAGAGATGATTGGGCCACCACCATCCGGCGTATAATCATTGCCATACATATTGAAGCCCATGAGGATTTTGGAACGCTTCACCTCCACATCATGGCAATCATCTGGCGCAATGTGATCAATTGCACTGCGCATCCAATACAAAGGCGCATTGGCACCGGGACGCTGCAGACTGGAGAAGTCGTAGGTCATCAGCGAGAATGCATAGATATGTTTGTATAAGCGATCCATATGACGCTCGCTAAACAAATTGGACATATCCCGGCGCTGAGGTGGTATCACCAATATCAAACGCAGTTGTTGCTTTTTCAAATCCTTGGCTAAGTATGGAAAAAGATGAGAGAACAATAATGATGATTTATAATTTGAGAATAGCAGATAAACCCACCCATTTGTAGCACCAGAGTGTAGAGAATTTTATCATCGATGCGACCAGCGATTTGTGACCACACCTCCAATACGAGTCCATCGAAACTGTGCTCCTTGCACGACTGGATGAGCACCTCGTTGAGCTTTGTGCGTTCGCCGGCATCGCTCAGCAGCAATTTAATATCGCGATCGGTGAAGTGATCAAAAATAACACGAGGAAAGACTGCAGTAAGGAATAGATATATCTACATTGTAGCTACTAGCTAAAGCAGGGATTTCGACTGGTCACCTTTAACTGTGCGTTGCGCTTGTTGCTGTTGGACTTTTCCCTTGCGCCTCAGTTCACTTAGCCAGCCGGCATCGATGTCGTGAGTGCCGGCGACGGCATATTCGTCAAATTGCTTCACAACTTGCAGCCAAACAGGTGATATGATGTCAAATTTCTTGGCAAATATCTTGGCCACGTCATAGCCATGTGAATTCCACTGCAAAAACATAAATGTTTAATTGTCTTCGAGAACTTGCGCAGTTTTGTTAATAATTAATACTCACCGGAGTTACATAGCCGAGCACAGTGCCATTGAAGCGTCGCAACGCCGTGTCCTTGTAGTAGGCCTCATTGTGCATTACTATGTCCTTGGGCGAGGGTTTCGGCGACACCAGTTTCAAATCGAATACATCGTTATCCTGGGGGCCACGCAAAAATTTGGAGTTCTTGCTTTTGCTTTTGGCTTTGCTGTCGGGCGACAGGGTGCACAGTGCGTACTGGCAGCTCAGCAAGAGGCAGCAAACTGTGCGCGCATTTAGTGTGCGCATTTTAAAACTTAATTATTCAAATGGAATTGTTGATTAATTTTATTAAACACAGGGATAACAAAAATATTTACCTCCAAATACAAGCGAACCGGCAGCTGAATTGGGTCGATAACGATAATAACGCACGCATGTTTCGATAACTTTCAATCAGCTGTTCGCACTGCACGGCCATCAGCCGTTGCAATATGAACCATGGTTCCAGGCGCTTTGAATCTTTCGGCTAAAAACAGCTAGCAATATATTTAAAAGTCGCAAAATTTTGAAACGTATGCATGCATTTGTATACATATACACATATATATAGTTGTATACATATGTATATAGTTATATTTAAAAGTTTACATTGTATAAATAATGGGAGGGGTTATTAACATAATGCTTCCTGCTCTTCCTGCTTAAAATCAAAAATTAAATTAAACTTAGTGCATAGACTAAACAGAAGGCTAAATATTATTAAAATCAAAACTAGCCACAAAATTAATTATCACTTAATAAAACAAAATGAAAAACAAAAGAAAATTGATTTAAATAGAATGTGTGTTAAAATATTTAACATAGGGCGCTACTTATACATAAGTATAATAATCATAAATTGTTATTAATCATAATTGTTATAATCGTAATCATTTCTTATGCATAATAGCATTATTTTTTTGTTTTTGTTCTTTTTTTTATATTAATATATGTGTGTTGTATTTATGTGTTTATATTCAGACAAATACGCGCATTAAATCGCTGCCAGCGGAATTGCTGCCGGGCGTTGAGTTGTTGCTCTTCCAGGGATTATTGCTGCCACTGGCAGCGGCAACAGCGGCCGCAGCAGCAGCTGCTGCTGCCTGTATATTACTGCTGTCGGACAGACTGCGCAGCAATTGCTTCTTCAGAAACTGTTGCTGCGGACTGGCATTCAGTTGCAATGGTAAATGCATGGGACGCTGACGCAACAATTGGCGGTGACTGTTGTTGCTGCTGTTGCTGTTGCTGCTGTGATTGCTGGTGCTCAGCATTGGTCGCTTCTGCTGCTGCTGTTGCTGCTGGCGTGTTGCCAACAATTTGCGTCGCTTCTCATAGAAACTGTTCATGCGCTGATTCTCCTCCAATTGCTGCTGCTGTTGTTGTTCGTTGGCTTCGCTGTTGTAATCCGCCTGTGGCTTCAGTTTGCCCGACAGCAACTCATTCAGACGCTTCACAGTCATGCTGACTCCATTGGTGTTGCTGCTGCTGTTGTTGCTGTTGCTGCTCCTCAGCAGTGCTCGCTTGTTGCAACGCAATCGGTCCTGTTGGATGACACTGCACTTTTGCGCATAGATTGTTTTTCCCGGACAGACATTACGTGGCATGGACACAGACGATCCGCTGCCATTACAATTAACGCCCAACGTTGTTGGCAACGGTGGCGGTTGGCGGGCCAAGGTGCCCACAACGCCACTGCTGCCATTTAGCGAGAGCAGACTGTTGTTCGCCTTGCGCGTCATCAGCAGATTCTTCCGCAACGTGGCACCCATGCCATTGGGCAGCTTGACCAGGCCGAAGGTGTTCATTGCCAGTGGGCGTGGCGGACCCGCATAGAGGGTCATATTGAAATAGGCGCTGCTGGTGGCATCTTCATGGTATTTGGCATTGGCCAATTGGCGATGTGGTTGTGCTCCATAATTGCACTCATAGCTATTGTATGCATTTGTATTGTTGTTGTTGGTGGCTTGTAGTGGTTGTTGTTGTTGTGGCTGGTTAGTTTCCAGCTTGACAGTCTTTGTGTGGTTGGCTTCCGCGCAAACAGTCTCCAGTTTCGTAAAGTCCAAATCGCCCAGTTCATCGTTGAAATAATTGGGTGCAACAACAGCAGCAGTTGCAGCAGTAGCAGTAGCAACAGCACCAGCAGTACCACCAGCAGCAACATCATTATTAGCTGCCGCCGTCTGCAACACATTCACATCGCAATTATCGTAGCCAGCTTGGGTTAGGAACTCGGCAATGACCTGCTGCTGACTCTGTTGATCCAGCACGGACACCTGATTGTTGTCCGTTATCTCATAGATAATACTTGGCAGTATCATGTGCTCATCGCCAACAGTTGTTGCAGTTGTTGTTTCAGCAGATGCCGCAGTTGCTGTTGTCATTGTTGTTGTTGCTGTGGGTGTTGTTGTTCCCTCATCGATGGCATCATCATCGGTCAGTGAGGGCACATCGTACACGTTAAATTGTTGCGTTGCCTCCTGCTCGTTGAGTTCCTGCTTCAGTTGCTGTTGCTGTTGATGCTGCTGATCCGCTTCGAGCATCTGTTGCTGCTGATAGATGAGCTGTTGCAGCTGCAACGCATCAATAGCCGTCAATTGGGTTTGCTCCTGTTGCTCCTCGCTATACACCTGTTGCTGCTGCTGTTGTTGCTGTTGCTGATAGTGTGCATAGTTTGCAGCATCGGCTGCATCATCGTAGCGAATTCGTTTTGTGGCTGGCTGCAATTGTTGCTGCTGCGGCTGGGAGGTGTCCAGTGCGCTCTCATCGAAGGGTATATCGGATTCCACATTGTTCAGTATTTCATTGATGAACTTGCTGTCCAGCATATCGTCCAATGTCAGCGATATCGAATTATCATCGGATGTGTTGTGCATTGGCAATGGATCCTCACTGACCCCAGACAGATCAACCTGTTGCTGGCGTACTTGTTGCTGCTGCGTATCCAGCTCCACATGACCTGTAATGGAGGAGACGGCCTGGTCCAGTTCGCTTAGCTGCTGCTGCTGCTCGTAGAGTGGTGCCAGTTGCTTCTCCTTGGCAGGTTTGCTGCGATGATGCGATGCGCTTTCAACTCCAGCTGCTGCTGCTGCTCCTTTCAGCTATAAATATTTATTAGTTTCATTATAGTCAGTAATATGGTATTTAAAGTTAATCATTCTCTCAAAGCTACCTTCTTTTTAGTTGGCTGCTGCGTCTCGTCGAGCAGGCTGGCTAGTTGTTGAGCGGGCGCGGCGGGTGAGTAGTTGATGCCATACTCGTTGTTGCCACCGCTGCCAGCGGCAGTTGCCAGCGTTGGCGTTGGCGGCAGCGAACACGACGAATTCGATGAGGAGGAGAATACAGTTAAAGCTGTTGCTGTCGCTGCCGTTGCCTGCTCCTCTTTGGGTGGCGCCGCAGCAGTAGCAGCTGCAGCAGCAACAATTGCTGCCGTTGCTATGGCACTGCTCTTTTTGGAGCCACCACCGATCTTGTGATGCAAATCGGAATGATGACGGTTCTTGGATGACTTGGAGCGTGAACGACTCGTGCTGCTGCTGCTGTTGGTGTTGTTGTTGCTGTTGGTGTTAGTCTTGGAGGAACTGCTACTCTTGCTGCTGCTGCTGCTTTTATGACGCGACGATGACGACGACGATGAGCTGCTAGATGGGTGTGCGTTGTTGTTGTTGTTGCTGTTGTTGAGGTTGTTGTTGCTACTGCTGTTGTTGTTTTGCACCGTTGCCAGTGAGCTGGTGGAGCCATTGGAACTGCTCGAAGTGGTGGCGGATAATGTGTCAGCTGGTGAACCCACAAGCTCCGCCGGCTCACGCACATCCGGACTGTTATCGGCGGCTGCCACTGCTGCTGCTGCTGCAGCAGTAGTTGCGCTGCTGCTGCTCATCTTGTTGGGCGTCGCATCCCAGATGCTCGGATGCTGGAGCGCAATGTGATTGTTGAAACCGGCGAGGACATAACTGCCATTGCAGGCATTACAAACGATAAGATCACGCGCCGCCAGCTCGGGCACCATGTCATAGTAGGACATATCGGCGGCATTTAAACGCTGCACTTGCACCACATTTGAACTGTGTCTTGTGTCAGCTGCACCACTTCCTCCCACACCACTGCCAGCATTGCCGCTGCCACCAGTTCGGCCAGCACGCAAATGTTGCTTTTCCGCGGCGCGCAATTGTTTAATCACCTTGTCCAGATCGAAGAAATTGGGCCACTTCTGGCACTGCAAGGCGGCCAGCGGGGAGGGATTGAACGACGGTGCCAGCATGTTGCCCAATTGTGCAGCAGCAGCAGCAGCAGCTGTGGCAACAGCTCCTCCTCCTCCTGCCACTTCTGCCTTGGATGAGTTGGTCATGTTTGTAGCTGTTGCTCCTCCTCCAGCAACAGCTGCTGCTGCTGCTGTGGATTGTGTTGTAGTTGCTGTGGATGTTGCCGCTTTTGTGTGCTTCGTTGTTGTTGTTGTTGTTCCGTTGCCGTGCTCCGTGTACATTAAGGCTGTGGCCACATCACTCATGGGCATTGTTATCGCTGTTGTTGCTGCTGTTGTTGTTGGATGAGAGAAATCCGCAGAGGTGTGAGAACGGGAACGAGAGCGAGAGAACGAGAGGCGTCCAAAAATGTTGATGAGGGTAGACGACGACGACGACGAGTTAGCTTGGCGACGCCACTGGCATTTTTCTGCAAGAATAATCAGGAAGGGAATTCCCCCAGTTTAATTCAGATATTGAAACAAAGCGTTCCAGAATGCATGCAATCGAAGGTAAAATTTCAATTTTTGTGGACTTCTTTTGATTTAACTGTCGAAAGTGGAACAGTTAAGATTGGCAAATGAATTCTACTTAAAATTCACAAGCTATGGCGTTAAATAAATAATTAAATTCATTTTTATGCTATTTTTTTCTATTTAAAAAGTCAAAATTAACTTTTTTTAAATGCATTTTGATATATTAAAATACAATTTCTCGCGAAATATGCTTATTTCTATTTTGTAAATTAAATGATTTTCTGTTTAGTCTGTTTAATTAAGTTGAGCTTAAGAAATTTTTAAATTAGGCTAACAAATATTTCTCCTAATATATAAATATGTTATACTTTTAATCAACATGTCATGATAAATATAATCGAATTGAAATACTGCAGTTTCTTTTTTCAAATACATACGCAACAAAGAAATTCGTATTAAAAATTGCAAGTCGTTTAATCATTGTAAAAGTTATAAACATTTTAGCGAATAAACAGAAAATGTTCATGCAACAACCAAAAACACTTTTTAAATGCTTAAAATTTGTATACGTCGAAAATTGCGCATTTAATAAACAGATTTTATATATGCATACAACTTACATACTTACAAAAACAAAATTAATGTATTGTTGAGGAAAATTAGTAATGTTATTATTTATGTGGCCGCAAAAACGTGTTGCCAGACATTGTTGGGACACATGTAGCCTTGCATTTTATGGCAAAGAGAACAGCTGAGCGCTGGCTCTGACGGTGAAATGCAAACACAAACAAATTGGGTTGGCAGCTCTGCTGATACTAACACAATTGCAAGATATTGCTACCCCGCTCGCACTTGTACGCCAAAGCTACACTCACCCAACCAACAAACAAAGCCCGATTAAAAAACTATGCACACGGAATATTGTTAACTTTCAGCACTGCATTTACATATTGATCGTAAACGTTCTGGTTTTCACTTACATGTGCATTAACGTTAACATAATTCCATTGTGTTCACTCGGCTTGCTGTTTAGCCAATTTTCATTCGCCTTGCCGTCGCCAGAGTTGTCAATGTGTTTTGCTTATCAAATTAATTAAATTCCGCATCCGCGCAGAGAAACGATTGTTGCAAATCTGCAATTGACTTCTTTTGTTTGAATATCCATCATATGAATTCAACAATGCTGCAACTTAATCTTCACTCTTAACTAAATTTTAAATGTATTTGCTGCTCTTGAATCCTTCACGCACTTAACAACGATTGTTAAGTAATCGATGCGTCGTAGTCGATAACATTGGCAAGAGAGCGCAGTTTTTGAATTCGCCTTCACAGATAAGAATCGCATGAAATGTAAATAACTCTAGATTTAAGGCGCTTGACTTTAATGAACTTTATCATGAACTAAACATACAGTGTGGAGTGTATTTGTAATGTACAAAAGCCTCTATGGCCAAAACGAAGACAATAAATAAGCCTCTTGATACAAGTGAGTAAATAGAGCTGGTAAATAGAGAATACGTTTAACGCTCAATTTCCTGAGTAACCATTGAATAAACAATTAATTAAATTACTATATTGAAGGAAGTACTGATTTGGCAAGACTAATGCAATTTAACCCTGTTTAATAGTTTTCTGCTTGAGCAGCTTAAACTCTGGCCCCCAAACGATATTGTTGATTAATTCGCCAAGTATGTAAAGTATCAAGCTTAAAGCCACCATTCCAGAGAGCATTAAATAACGCAACGGCAATGGAAGAACTTCAAGCAGGGGATAAACCCACTGACCACTAAAGTACTTGACAATATGCACCCAAATCACGTAGAGCAGCATAAAGGAGGCGTTGCCAGTGATGCCCGCCAAGCGGCTGGGATACTGCCGGAAGCAGGTGAACAAATCCATGATGGCCAATAGCGCCACATTCGTGTGAACAACGTGATTTAGCCAGCTGCAAAAATAGATAATAAATAATAAGTTAATAAATACACGGTATTTAACACTTGCCTAGGAAATATTGCGTCGAGTGCTGCTGGAAAGATGAGCTCACGATCCCACAGATAGATGACCCAGAAAGAGATGCAAACATTGTGCGCAATGGGAAATGCAAGCGTGGCGAATAAATAATCGCGCAGCTGACGCAGCCAGGACTTTGAAGCCAGTGTGACCCCATTGTGGCCGAACAGATCGTTGAGCAGGGCCACACTGTGGTAGATGGCCTGCAGAATGACGTTCAGAAATGTGAGATATTTGAATTTGCCACCCCAGCGCGTCTTCAGCTCCTCCTCCTCGTGCAGCCCTGGCGGCCAGTGTACTTTCCATAGATAATAGTAAATGCTCCATGAGAATTGTGCCGCTGCCAGCAGGTGAACCAAGAATCGCAGATAACTAAATGCACCACTCGTGTATGCATCGTTGCACGTCTCCAGCTGTGCGCTGTGCACTTGAGCGGCTTGCCTTGCCGCCTCTAGTTCTCGTTTTTGTTTCTTGCTCTTTGCCATTGCTTGTACAAAAATTACTAACTGATTTGAGACGCGGCGTTTTGCTTATTGGCAAACCAGGGCTGCAGCACCGGAACATGTGTTTATATTTTTGCGCTGCTGCTGCTCACTTAACAGCGCTGTCTGCATATTAACAGCAACGAGCAAACAGCTGTTGATTGTTTTGATTACCAAAAAAAGGAAAATTGTTGAAGAATGTTGAGAAAATTAATATTTAATCATCAGCGACAACAGGTGTGTGTGTGTGTAAAATAAAGAAGGAAACACTAAATAAATTGCCACTTCTTGCAGCTAAAATGCCTGGCAACAAAGGCAACGCTGCCAAAGCTTGTGAATCTGGAGCCGGAGCACATCGAGGAAGCTATCAAACTGGAACCGGCTCTCTCCGTTTACACGCCCGAGCTGTGGCGCCGAGCGCATGAAACATTCCAGAATCATGGTCTGGAGACCGTCAACTTCCTGAGAATTGTGACCGCAAATCCAAAGCTGCTTCAGCGTGCGCCTCAACGTATTGTGAACAGCTTGGAGATTTGGCGTGCCTGTCAATTTGGCGAGCATCTGCTGCATCTGCTTCTGACCAAATACCCCGAGCTGCTGGACGTCAACGATGCCCATCGGCTGCTCTCATTGATCGCTTATCTAAAGAGTCGCGTCTCAACAAATAAGAATGTGTGGAAGCTGCTGATGAACAGTCCCGATTTGTTGGAGCAGTCGGAGCAGACCATTGAGGAGAAGCTCAACTATCTGTTTGAGATTATGCGAATCGAGGTGCCTGAAATTGTGAAATCCTCAGCGCTATCGCTGCCTTTTGAGGAACTGCGTTGCCGACACACGTTTCTGCTCCGCTTGGGTTTATTTAAGCCACGTGCCTTGAAAGCGGATCCCAACGAGCCGACAACAAACAACAGGCTCTATCAGCTCACGGATACTTCGGAGAAATCCTTTGCCACCAAAATTTGTCATGTGACGCTGCCCGAATATGAAGCATTCAAGGAGTTATTGGCACGTGAATTGGAACGCAAGACACGAAAACGTAAGGAAGATCCGTTCAGTGATGACGATGAAGAAGATTAAACAAAGTTTTGTTTAATATACTCAAAGTTGTTCATTTTGGTGTGTAAAATTAATACACCTAAATCTTGCTTGTCTTTTATTTTGAAGTCGTAACAGCGTACTGGGCTTGACAAAAGAGTAACATGTTAAATCGAGCAACACGTTGACATGTGAATTGCAAGCATGCAATATCTTATCCTTATGGAGTTTAATTCAAAATTAAATTAAAATTATATATATGTTATGAAATGGAAATCGAAGTCAATTTGCACAAGCAACAATTCCGATCTCGCAGTGGAGGAAACTGATTATGTAGTTATGCAGACGAGGTTTGCTTGTCATATTGAATGGTAACAGCGTACTGAGCCTGAAGCAAGAGCAACACTGTTAAGTTGAACATCAGCGTAGACATGTGAACGGCGGGCATGTAATATCTTGTCCGTATGGGTGGCATTGGGGGAGTTTTATTCAAAATTAAATTAAAACAAAATATTTGCGTTATCAAAAGCAATTCGCAAACAATTGGCAAACAGCACAAACCACAATTGCAGTGCAAGAGTCCAGCGGAGCACAGAGCACATGTAGTTATGCAGACGAGGCGAGAAACACACCCACAATAAAAAGCAAAAAACAAGAGAAACGAGAGAGAATTTCACGCTTACTCATTGCTGCAAATCCTTGGCAGAATGTCGGGCAATCCTTTCGACGACGAGGACGCGCCGAGTGCCGGCAGTGATGAGATACTGGAGGGTTTTCTCTGTCCCATTTGCCGGGCGGACTTGAAATCGATTGATTTCCTCACCGAGCACTTTGCCCGCCAACACGCCGAGGAGGAGGACGCGTTGAAGTCCGTCTTCAAGGATATATTCAGCAAAGCCAAAAAGAAGATACTCAATAACTTTGAGGATGATCGCAATCGTGGTGCTCTAGCAGGTGTAATGCCAACAGCAAGTGCAGCCAGTGCTGCGGGAGGAGCAAGTGCAGCAGGAGCAGCAGGAGGTGGAGCAGGAGCATTTAGGACGCAGCTAAACATTTATAGTAATATGGCCAAGCAGAGCGTTGGAGCGGAACGTTCATATCTAGAGTATTTTCAATCGGTGCGCAATCCACGCCTAGAACGCTATGCGAGCGAAACGAATAAACTGATTATTCGATTGCATCGCCTACTGAAGGATCTGCCGACGGATGCAGTGCAGCGCAAGCATCACGAACAGCAGACGGTGCCATGGCTCGATGGCAGTTCCGTCAAGCTATGCCCCAACTGCGCCAAGAGCTTTCACATCGCACGGAGGCAGCATCACTGTCGCCTCTGCGGCGGCATCATGTGTCACGATTGCTCCCGATTTCTTCAGCTAGAAAATGCCAGTGAGTTGGGGCGTCTTGTGATTGACTGATTGAATGTCTAAGTTTGAGATTGGCTGACTGATTGACTGGTTGCTTTAATCTTTAATTGAATGAATGATTATCAGACTAAGATAAAATTTCTACTCACAAAATGGCTGACTGATCAACTGCTTGACTAGCTCATAATTAATTTGATGATTTACTGACTGATTGATTAATCATTTATCACTTGCTGATTGACTGACTGACTCATTGGCTGGTTTACTAACTACATTATTGCAAAAGTTGATTAATCAGCTGCTTAACTAGCTCATGATTCACTTTCCGATTGATTGATTGATTCATAGGCTGATTGACTTGCTGATGGAGTGAATCATTATATCACAGGTAGATTGATCAACTGCTTAACTGACGATTCACTGACTGATACATACATATTTAAGTGAATGATCCACTAAGCTATAAATATGATTAAGCATATATAAACTCTCCAATTGTATTCCTTGCAGTGCAATTGGCCAGTTTGTCGTCGACACGTGGCGAGCCACTGCAGCAGATGCGCCACCATGAGGATCGGGCGATTCGTGTGTGCCAGCATTGCCTGTGGCTTCTGGACACGCGCCAGGACATGCACGAGAGTCGCACCTGCCGGCCGATGCTCGTTCACGTGTACGAGGAGATAAGGCAGCTGCAGAAACAGGTTAGTCCCGATCTGGACATGTACGTAAAGATTGTGAATAGTCTGCTCGACGGCGAATCGATATTCACCATTGCCGATGCGGGCGCCTTGCGTGGCAAGATCGGTCAGGTGGCCGAGAAAATTGATTTGCGTAGTAAACGCATTCTCACCATCCACTCGGAGCCGGGCAGCCGCGACGAGGCGCTGAAAAAGGCCATTCGCCTGAGTTGTGTGCAGGCGATCAAGGAGCGAATGTTGTCGTTGCCACCGCTACCGGATGAGGCGCTCATCAGTCAGATGCAGGAGCGCAGACGCATGGAGACCGAACAACGCATTCTCACCGAGCAGCGTATGGCCATGGAGGCCTACGAGCGTTACGGTGCCGCAAACCAAACCGGAATTAATACGGAGCACCGCAGTTTTGCCCAAGGCGTAAGTTGCAAAAAGAGCTCACTTTGTTCTGTTAACTGTTAACCAATGCCTTCCAGTCTGATTTGCAATCGTTGAATAATTGGTCAGCGCCGCAAGCGTCCACAACAATTTCCAGCGTCGATGATCCGCTCATCGAGCAGATCAACATTATTAAGGGCTACATTAAACAGGCGCGTCAGGACATGAACTTCGATGTGGTGGAGACCCTGGAACTGAATCTGCGCGAACTGCAGCGAGAGGTGTACGAGCGGCAAAGGCGTAGCAGCACACCCCAGTTGGACAGCTAGACACTTGCCCTATAATATTTACATATATATGAATATATATGTATTTTTTATCTATTTATATATATATTTATTCATTCCCGCTTTTGACTAAATAAATGTTAAAAACTGTTTATCGATTGACGTGTATTTTTGTTTGCTTACGAAATTTGTGCATTGTGACGTGTATAGAACAAAATGCGAATGCTCATTTGAATAATTTAAATTTTGATTTTGTAAAATTTAGGACTTTAGACCCACAGCGGCAATCAGAGATTTTACTTTAGCTATATAAGCGGTTTGGGCGTCGCCATTGCTCATCCCCTTCAGCTTGTTCCAGGCCTCCCATTTGGACTTGCCTTTGAAGTCGAGAAAGCCGGGCTTATCTGTTCACCACATAAAATAATTCTTAGGTTAATTATTTACACATTTCTTTTATTTTTTTTGCACATTTTACCCGTATTGCAATCGCCCACATTGGCCTGTTTGTAGAGACCGTAAAGTTCGAGTAAATCGCTGTCAGCTGGTGTGCTGCTCAAGTTCTTTACATCCTCGGCGGCTTGGTTGAATTCCTGCAAATAATTAACACAATTAAAACACACATTATTTTTCTTATTGGTTTCGCACACTTAACCTGTAGTTCGGCCATGATTAAATAGTCAATTTCGTACACCGCTTTTCATCTCTAGGCAACGCCGATAGTTTCCAAGAGAGAGCGCGCCACTGTTGATTTAACAGACATGGGGCTGCCAACTCTGGCCAAGCGCAAGAAATTCTTATAAAAAGGTGACTATCAGTTATTTGGTATATCACTATACTTTGACACACTTGCAACAACATAAATTGCACAATTTGAATACACACATTTTTGCATTTAATTGTGTGCACTGCTTAACAACCAGATTTGCCGCCAAAACTGCTAACAGTGCAGCACTGTCGGTTAACAGTCTCCAATTTGGTTAACAGCTGCAATATTGTTTACAGCAGTTATTACGCGTTGAACTTGCATAGTGGACGGACGTGTTTACGCGTGGGCGTTTCCAGTTGTAAAAAAATCGAAATTAAAACGCAACAACAAATTTTAATAATAGCCCAAATACAACAAGCAACAAAGTGCAGTGAGTCGCTCAGCAAAACAAAAGTGATCATCTCAATAAGCCTATTGCGAGCGCAAAGAGAAAGTGCAAAAAAAAAAATAGAATAAATAAATAGAAAAGCCAAAAAGCGATTTGTTGTTGGCAGTAATTCTGTTTTGTGTTGTGTTCTTCTTTGTTGGTGTTTTAGTTCTTGTTCTTGTTCTTCTTCTTGTTGCTGTATCGGCGCGCAACGCGCTGCTTATGCAAATGTGGTAAGAATATTATTTTATTATTTACCTAGCAACTAGTAACCGAAATTTAGATCGGTATATTTCTATTTATATTAAGCCCTCCCGCAAGTTATATTGGCCAGCAACATGTTATGTATTTATTTATTTATAAATTGATTTATTTAATTTTATTTCAAACGTTTTTCAAATTTTATTCGTATCGATTGCTTGGAGCCGGCTACGATATATTTTTGTAGTTATAAACCAAGTCTCGCGTTACTCATAGCTAAACAAATTTGAGTTAGCAGCTACCAACAAAACAATTGGAAGTGCGAAAGGCAAACACAAACAACAAGGCCGACTTTTGATTTTCTATTCATAAGCGGCATTCTACAAATTCCTTTTCCCATTCCGTTTCCGTCGTCTCATTTTCGTTTGTCGCTCTTCATCCCACTTGTCTTGTACTTAAATTTTTTGTTTTATCTTGATTTTAGCGCAATTCAAAGCAAACAAACGGTTTTAATAGAGTCGTTAATTATATTTTTTTGTTTAAACAAACTATTTACATTTTGGCGTCAAGTTGGAAGTGAATGCTCTGGAAAACTGTTGGAATGTTTATAATTGAAATTGTGGATGTTGAAAAATTACCGATCATTAATAATTTGATTCACAATGGAAATGCATTGTGAATGCAGGAATGTGAGAGAGGGAGATAGATATAGAACGAGAGAGATAGGGAGAAGTGAAAGTGAGAGGGATAGTTACAATGGTAAATTAAGAGCAAAAGAGAGTATGTAAGAGAGATAAATATTTACACTAATCATTTGGAAATTAGAATTCTATTTATTATATAAATAAATAATATATTTCTTAATAAAAGTGTTTTTCATATATATAGACATTTAAATATTTGCATTTAAATCCCTATCTGTCTCTTTCACTTTGTCTCGTCTCTCGTTCACTAAATATTTTCACTTTCTTTTTCACGTTTGTGATTTGTGTTTGCAGCTGTTGATCTATTATTAAATTCATTAACACAGCGCCATTCATTAACAATGTGTCTTTTCTCATTCAATTTAGAACACGTCTTAATTGTAATGAACAATTTTAATTGAGCGACTTGACTTGCATTTGTTTACATTCCCCTTATCAACCCCTTGCCCAGTCTACACTCTTGACTGATAACCGTTAGTTTCAGTTTCCCCTTTTCACTTAGCTTCTGCCATTTGCCACCGATTAATGTTGACCCAGTCAGAGTCAGCGTTGCTTTTGTCGTTCTTTCTGATTAGTCACGGCCATCGGAAAAAGAGAGTGAGAGTGAACTGGGACAGATAGAGAGAGAGAGAGAGAGAGAGAGAGAAAGGAGACGGGAACACTTATCAGCGGCGACGTCGGCTGTCACTTGAGTTATGCCGCTTTTGCTTTTGGACTGCAACTGACAATGGGACCACGGTCAGGTGTTTTGTTTTTGTTATTCTCTTGTCTCTAGTTGTCCTTCGTGCGTGGGGGGGGGGGGGGGATGATGATGGCACTCATTGTAAAGACTCGCGATTGAAAATTCTAACCACTGGAAAGTGTAACAGTTATTTTAGAGATGCCTTAAGGGAATTCCACTAGAAACATTTATCTTCTACATTTTAAGTTATTCACAAAGCTTTTTCGTTCTCTTGCAATCTACTCGAAATATGCAAATTTCTTTTCATTTCTTCTATAGCTGATGATTCAGTTTTAGATATTTTAATTGCATAATTGTTTGTTGTGGTTTTCGGAATTAAAATCAATAAATGACGCATTCTATTGAACACCTCCAACCCCGTGAATATGAGGCATTATCAAATAAAAATAAATATGGCACATCCATATTCAAATGAATAGTAAACCATAAGAAATTATCAATAATATTTGATATTTACTTTCATATAAAATGCCTAATGAAATTATTTAAATATTTTCCAAATTTACTGCCAATATTTTCATTAAAAAAAAAAAAAAAACAGTTTAGCGAATATATAAATTATAATTGTTCTATTTTAACAAATTAAAGCAGCAGGCGCATACATAAGTACATAATTGTTAACTGATTTCGGCTGGTCACACTATTCGAGAATATTTCCAAACGTCAGTCGGCCGTTGTAGATAAAACAAATGCAGTCTCTATAAATATCAGCTAATTCATAAAAAAAACGTACTAAACGGAAATGTATTCGAAAAAATTGAATTTAATGAAAACTTCATACAATGGCAGTCAATCGCCAAAGTCTGAAGAGGAAACCGAAATGGATGAAACAACCATGTCGAATAGGGCCGTAACAAATGCAAATCCGGAAGAGGCACTCGAACTGGATGTGGTCATCACAAATGTTGTCTGCTCTTTTAGTGTGCGTTGTCATCTCAATTTGCAGAACATAGCGTTGAAAGGATCGAATGTGGAGTATCGTCGCGAGAACGGAATGCTGACGATGCGTCTACGTCGTCCTTATACGACGGCATCGATCTGGTCATCCGGCCGGATAACGTGTACGGGTGCCATTTCGGAGATGCAGGCGAAGGTCGCCGCACGGCGTTATGCCCGCATTTTGGAGCATTTGGGTTTTCCGGTGCGATTCCAGAGTTTTCGCGTTGTGAATGTGTTGGCCACCTGTTGCATGCCCTGGCCCATTAAAATTGTCAATTTCTCGATGCACAACCGTGAAATGGCCAGCTATGAGCCGGAACTCTATCCGGGTGTCACCTATCGCATGCGTAATCCCAAGGCCACTCTTCGAATCTTTTCGACGGGCAACATTACGGTTACGGCTGCGAGTGTTAATGCCGTTGAGACGGCCGTACAACGTATTTATCCGTTGGTCAACGAGTTTCGAAGTGTTCGTCTGTCCTCATCGAAAAAAACCGAGTCGGACTCCGGCGAGGAACTGGCGGATGCCACTGGGAATGCTGCATTGCCTGGGAAAATTCCAATATCAACTGTTGTTGACAGTACCTTCGTGGCGGCAACCAAATCCTCACCGCCCATAATTGATGCAGCTGACAATATTTGTGGCAATGCTCGTCGTCGTGCCACAGCATGTTGGGCCAGCAAACTGGATAAGAAACGTCCACGTTACAATGAAGCCAGCTCTCAGGCCACAGTTCAAGCTAACAATTTGGCCAGCTCCATCAGTCACTCCAAGAACAATCAGCTGTCCAGGAAGCCGGCCAAACACTTTAAGGATCTCAACTAGACGAAAGAAAATAATATTTTCTCAACAGATCTTCAGGTGGATGAGCGTGGATCTGAAAAACTTGAAACACTATTCACCCATTTCAGCTTCCCTCTCTGAGGAAGTTATAAATAAAGACTGACATTATTCTACAATTAAGACAAGCAATTTAAAACAAACATTGTGATATTAACAAGTGGCCTGGCTACATAGTTGACATCGCTCATACTTACCTAAGATATTCAAAAACTACAATGACAATATTCCTACCTAAAACACTTGTAATAAATATTCTTACCACACAATAAGTATAAAAAAGAATAGGGTGGAATTCCATTTAATTGAAAGTGGTTAAAAGGTATGTTAGAGGCAAAAGGAAACATCTGCGACTCTAATCGGATTACATTTGACACAGTTAGGCCATTGGAAAGTTTGAACCAGTCCCTGCCTAGTTTTTTTTGGTGCCTGAATCGTGTTTCGAACTTTAAATGCAGTATTATTATTATAAAGGTAAAATCATAATTAAGAAGCACTGGTTTTCCAAAATCGGATTACTTTTGGCAAAGTTATAACATTGACAAGTTTTGAATTGCCCCTACTTACTTTTTTATTGGAATAGAATACTGGCTGAATGCATTTCGAGTCAGAATCGCGTTCTCAACTTGAGTTCAGAGTATCTCATAAGCGAACTCACTCGACTGTAGCATTCTCACATATTGTTCGTTTTCTCATGTTGCTTTTAGGGTCAATGTTAGAATTAAGGTGTTAAAATGAACAACAAGTTAGCAGCGCTTCCCCAGAAAATTGGAAAAACTTGAATATTTTGTATATATAAATATTAAATGTAGCAATCTCAAAGGCACAAATATCTTAAAATAAAGTAAAAAAACGTATTTTTAATTAGCGAATATTTACCTATCGAGCGTTTTTATAAATTTTGTGCTCTTACGATCAAGTCAATAATAATTTTAATCAAGCAATTGATTTATCGACTATTGTCTATTTTGATATGACCATTCATATCTAAATAATTTGTAATGCCAGATGGGCCAACCGTAAGACTCTTATCAACTGAATGACTCAACACATTTAGTATAATTTATCAAAGAGTTTTTTTTTTTTTTGGTATGCCAAATAAAACAAAAACAAACTCGTTGTAGTTGCAATTAGTTTCGATGCGCCCAGCGGCCCCAAAAAACTGTTTTCACTGTCAGCGTTAAAAGTCATTTACCAAGCTCCATCTGCCACCAAATCCGCACACAATTCACCCCCAACACACATACAGACACACACACACATTACCAATTTAACTTGGCCCAATGTTGGCAAGCCAAATTTCCGTTTTATTGCCCATCCAACGAAAAATGCGCCCTCAACATGACAGGGCTAACCTAGAGCACAAAGCATGATATTGATATAGACTATATATGTGTATATGTATATATGTATGTGTACTATATAGATGAATAGTTTGGTTCGCCTGGTCTCTAGGTAGGAAGGGTAACCGCATTTGTAAAACTGCAACAGCTGCAGTTATTTTTCAGTTTGTTTGTTGTCATTGTTTTGGCTAATATCGTGCACATAGGGTATACCCATTTTGATGGCAACTTTGTAACGGCTAAGTGAAGTTATTTTTGCTATAAACTATATCCTTGTTAGCTTTAAAGATTTCACATTTCATGCATAAGTTTGCATACCCCTTTAAAGTTTTTAGAATTTTATTTATAAGGAAATATTTATGCCAGAGTATTTCATCGTTGATCAACCCCAAAGGAAATCGTGGTTTCTTGTCTGGCCAATTTCTCTGCTACGGTACAGCATTTACCATCGAATGCAACATATTTGATTTTCAATCTTTTTTTTACATAGAACGCCGGCTGTTGCCGCCCAGCCAAATGAAATCTGCGAAATATTCGAGATGAATTCCGATTTTTTTTGCGCAGCTTGATATATGTGTGCAATTTTACAGTCTCGAGTTGAACTAAATCAAGTGAACTAGTTAATTGAAACTTGCTATATGGCAACTTGATAATAAACTCAAAAAATGTTTAAGAATATTAATAATAATAAAATGAGAAAACCATTACAATAATCTAACATATTTTGCATTTTATTTAAAATTTCCGTAATCTAAAATCAGCAATGCATATATAATTGTCCAATTCTAGTGAATCTTAGTCAAAATATGAGGATCATATTAGCAGACATAACTATTGAATTTAGTTTAAATATGTTCAACTTTAACATATATACTGCCTGCAGTAATTAGCCGGCAATATGCCAAGTTTTATCAAGATAGCTTCAAAACTGGGAGACTAATTCGCTTGGAAACAGACGAACAGACAGACAAACACGGCTATATCGACTCGCTTAGTGATGCGGATCGTATGTATATCTTTTATATACATATTTTATATTTACTTTCACCTTATATACTTTAAATGTATACATAAAAATATTTGAATACTGTATGCCAGGGTATAAAAAGGTGTTCAAGAGGTCATATGTGATTCACATGCTTGTTTCCAAATTTGTTCTAGTTCCAATGTTCAAATACCCAAAATGTATTTGCATTTAACCGGTTCCGTCTTCCGCCCGCCTTGAACTAGTTCCATTAAAGCCGAACACAAGGCCGGCGGCAGCTGGGACGCGCCTAAAAACGTTGAAGTGAATCTGCTTACTCGCCTGGCTTCTTATCTGAACTGTTCATATTTAATTTACGCGCGGTGAAATAATAAGGCACAAGTACAATTGAAAGATGGTCCTAAGAGCAAATTTAGAACACAACGACTTTGTTTAAAAATTTAACATAGACTGCTGCGGAATTGCTTCGGCAGGTTTATTGAAAACTTCTAAATTATCTTACAGCTATATACAATTATTCTTATTCTACTTAGGGCAGCATCTACGTACATATTTACTGCTGCATGAAACTTCTAAATTATCTTACAGCTATATACAATTATTCTTACCCTACTTAGGACATCATCTAGACTCATAATCTTATCACTTGGGAAAACTCTAATCACGGGAAGTTTCCGTGTCTGTTCACTTCTTTATCTACATATGTTCTCGATAAGAATCCTCCTTGGTTATTTTCCATTGGAAGATTGAACAGCTCACCTGCCCTCCCTCTCTCCGTGAGATGGCCTTTGTCATTGGCCAGGTAGACAGCTGGCTGGCCCAAAAGTGCATCCTTCTTGGCAGCAGCAGCTGCTGCTGTTAGTTGGCCTGTTTTGTTACCTGCTTGCAAATGGCTGGCATTTCATAGAGTTAACACAAAAATACTCGCCTCAAAACAGAAAATTCAACAAATGTTGCTCGGGGGTCAAAAACTAAACGAAATTCCCCAACAGAATTCTCAGTGTGTGAGTGTTTTTTTTTGTAAGTTGCGTCATCGTTTACGGAAATCTTCATATGTATGTGGAGAGCAGCTATGCCGAAAATGTTGAAGTCTGGTTTTTGAAAAAACAAAAAAATGTTTTTATTATTAGCAATGGCAAAAAGGGTGTAATGATTGTTGTGCCAAAGTATGTTCAAGTCTATAAAGTATATATATTCTTGACTAACATCATTAAACCGAGTTCCTCTGTATGATAAAGCCAATCTCAGAGAGTATAGGAGCTAGAGACTTTAAATTTGGAATATAATATACCCTCCAGAATATTAATCAACTGTAAACAATTCATTAACATGAGCAAAGAAAAATTTATTTCTTTAACTAAAATGTATTTTCATATTGAACAAATTATTATCAGTATTTAACAGTTGAGTGCAGGGTATACCCAGTCGAGCACTTTCGACTAGAGCCATTCTAACAAGTTTTTCTTGCTCTTCATTCATCCGGTCAGTTACAAAAACTCGTTTTATCAAATATTCTATTACATAGTCGGTTTTTAACAACATATTTATTATACATTGTATACTATTTATTTTATTTTTGTTTTGCGTGTATTTTGATTGCTTTAATTAAGTGACACAATTTATGGCATGGCATTTTTAGTTTTATTTATATAGAAATTAATTTGTAGACATTATTATTTTTGGCACTTTGGCCAGCGCTTATCGTAATTTTGTTTTTTTTTTTTGTATGAGTCTACATTTCTCTGTTATATACTATATATGTGTATAAACATATATATATTTGTGATACTCTTCATGCGTAAATCACATTTGTGGGGACGACAGTGAGAGTTTTTTAAATACCTCAATGCGTTTGCTTCGTGCAAATATTTGTTTGTTATGCTCTCTGATTATGTGTAGTCGATGTTGTTATTGTGGTTATTGTTTGCCTCACACACACTGTATATATATAGATACATATATATATATATATGTATGTTCTCGATATGCCTGAGAAGTCGGTCCAAGTGCTCAATGACGCGCTCCCTGACTTTGAAGCGCTTCAACGCCCGACAATTATTTATTCTATCAAAATGATTCACATTTGGCATACATATTCAAAGATTAGCATGTGCGATTCTTATTTGCATAAAATTTGGTTTAATTCAGTTATCATTTTAAACGCATTAATTAAAACAATTCTTGGGAATGCAGCCAGAAATGCCATCAACTCAATTGACATGCTTAAAATAAACCAAAAAAGATTGAAAGTGGAAACTTTTGAGGCGCAACTTAAACTTTAAATATAAAAAAAAGGAAATGTTTATTTCGACTAATAAGTAAAAGAAGCAAACTATTGGGAAACATCTTGAGCTGGATACTGTTGAATAAACTAGTTTTATACAAGAACAAACTATGTTAAATATTTTACTAGCGAAAAATGTAATTGTAAGAAAACTTGCGAAAGTTATGCATAGAGCAAACACATGAAATAAAAAAAAAAGTAAAAATGAACACAAAGCTTATAAAGTAAATATTATATTAGATATTTCGTATTCTTTCGTGTTTGGCTTTAATGCAAATAGTTCAAGGCGGGTTATAAGCGGAACAAGCTAAATGCAAGTACATTTTGGGTACTTGAACATTGGAATTAGAACTAGTTGGTAAACAAGTATATGAATCACATGGAACAGTTTTAGGAATTTTGTTTAGATTCTTCATAGATATGAAATGCCAGAATGCATGTGGAAACTGATTATGACGAGCCTCCTCTTGTTGTAGTTGTCCATTTAAAATTCTTATGATCTCTATTTATATTTTAGAATATTAGTGTCTTTATTAGCAGCTGAGCGCCTAATTAATCCGTACTCCTGTTAAACCAGTTTTTATACTTTACGACAACTGAACTGACTTAGTTTCAACCGTCTGACAACTCTCATCGACTCCCGCTAGAG